GTAATCAACCACAAAGAAGAATATTCATTTGACGATAAATTGCATGTACTACCACACTTTTGACTTATACATCAATTAAAATTATAAATTTAACTAATGAAATGATTAAATTTTATGCTATTCTATCATTCAATATCTAAGTTTTAAAATCAGGTTTATAACTTTGAAAAGTGCAGAATTTGAAAAATGTGACATAAGGATTAAGCTACTAATCATGCATAATTTGGATTGCTAAGACTATCACAACACAGGGTTTTGCATTCAAGTATATTAATGAGATCTAGTTGTGATTATTGTGCATTCTAATATGATACTTGTGCATTGTGTGTGTGGCTACTATCTATTTCTCTCTCTCTCTCTCTCTAAATTATAATGCATTAAGACCAACTCCATGGTACTATTAAACCCCACGCCCCCTAGCCTTACGACTATCATCTGTTGTATATAAATTTGGTGTACATGGTTGGTATTTATTTATCTATCTACAATTATGTATATAAAATGATATACTAAAATATATATCATAGATTATGTTTTTACTTGAAGTGGTCTAAATATGAGACTTTTATCATTATTTTATAAAAAAAAATCTTCAATTTAAGAGATACAAGATAAATTAATTTATATTCTGGTATCATCTCAATTTCTTTAGTATCCGTCTCAACTATCCCCTTTTATTGTTTGCATGTATACTCTAATGTAAATGATTATAGTTTATCAATCAGTTATAAAATATACCCTAATTTTCAATAATAATAATAATGAAAATAAAAAGAGTTCATAATTTTCATTAAATTTAGGATCATTTTAACCAGGCTATATAGTATGAGTTAAATAGTATGGGACCATATTTTAACGTATGAATAACATGTGTAATTTCAGCTTGTGGAGATTGAAATCAAAGCAATCTTGAAGGTGGGTCTAGTAATAAAGAACGGTTGTGACCAGTTGCAATACGTGCATTGAGCATGGGAAAAAGAATACTCACTGTACACACTTTTGCTTCAGATTCTACTGCGATTTGATCGTTTACATATAGCAGCCGGGAGGTGGAGAAAGAGAGAGAGAGAGAGAGAGAGAGAGAGAGAGAGAGAGAGAGAGAGATTAACACAGAGGTTGCCATCAGTTGATATCGGGCATGCACAACGTCACCATGGTCCCGGCGGAAACTCTGAAGGCATGGCGGTGCCGTTGGACCGCAAGGCGAACGCCGACGTGGTCGTCACTGGGAAATTGAAAACAGTTTCATCTTCTCCGTCAGAATGAAAGCCTGTGGGCTCTGAGGCTCCTCCCAGGGGAACAGTGTGGTGGGAGAGCCCCTCTCTCTCTCTCTCTCTCTCTCTCATCTCCAAAGATCTATGCTCCGAGAGATGAACAGCACACCGGATATGAACTGTTCTGTTAAATACGCCATCACTGTCAAAACCGGGGCGTGCTCCCCGTGGGGACATAGACTTTGAGATAAAAGTGGCAGTACTTAAAGGCTGAAGTGGGGAGTGGGTTGGGCTAGAGCTATCGAAGGGTGCTGAGGGGGGAGGGCGACTGAAAACCTCCATGACTCGTTGTTCTCTTGCATATGAATTATTTCGTCTCCATCTACTTCGCGGAGACGAACGTACCCAAATAGCAAAGCATGTGTTAGCGAGAGAGAGAGAGAGAGAGAGATGGTTCACTTCTGAAGGAGGCTCCCTCTCTTCTAGTTTATGCATCATGTTTACTACATAACAGTACCTAGGGTACTGTGGGAGGGGAGGGTTGAGAGTTGGGAGAGGAAGGGGGAGAGAGAATTCAACTATCTGATGGGCACTTGCGTCTGGGTGGATGGATGGAGAATAGAAGATACTGGATCCCCGGAAAGACACCGATTGTTCGTGATGTTCATTTTCAGGAAGGTAGAAAAACACTGAGGACCTTGATTGAAGTCATAGCATGGGGACATTCTTGCAGTCTCGCAAATGGGATGAACTGGTCTTCATTTGCCGCCATCGGCTTCCCTGTCAGAATTCTCTCCAGAAAAGCTGATGCGGACCCCTAGGTCTCCTTCGTGGTTCCGACTTCCTCAGCTAGACGTCCCTCCGCCCTTAGGAAAGTGACGGTTTCGGCTGTTTCCTTCATCCTATCTTGAACCGGGCTTAGGTGAACCCAGTTCCACCCCGCCGTCCTTTAATAGTTCGGGAGGGAGACATCTTGAAAACTCAATGGAGGCGAGAGCAATCGGGCGGCGGGAAGAGCCTTGGAAAGATTAAGAATTATCGATAAGTCAGCGTGTTTACAGATATTATGCGGATGTTACCACTTGCCCAACCTTCAGTTTTAGGCCCCCGGCTAGGAATACTGCCATAAATGCTAATAATGCATGGTCCTCGTCCCACGTTGACAGTCATAGTAGTTTGACAATACTTTATACTCAGTACTCTACCTCTCTCTCTCTCTCTCTCTATCTCCTCTCTCTCACACTCACTCTCTCTCTCTCTCTCTCTCTCTCTCTCTCTCTCTCTTTCTCGCTCTCTCTCGCTCTCCGCTCTCTCTGTCTGTCTCTCTCTTTCTCGCTCTCTCTCGCTCTCCGCTCTCTCTGTCTGTCTCTCTCTTTCTCTCTCTCTCTCACTACGTCGAATGTCCCCTTCCGAAATCGAGCCACCCCAACTGCCTCGTGGAGACCGCAAGTACGAGCAGGTGGCCCCTCACGGCGGGGATAGACCCCTTCCGTCTGACCACTTGTCTCCAGCAATCCACAGCCATTAGAGAAAAGAGAAAGAAGGGACGATGAGAGAGGGAGGGAGAGAACCGGAGAGATAGAGAGATAGAAAGAGAAAGAAAGGTAGAAGGGAGAGGCAGGGACGGCTGGCCGTGGCTAGGATGGTCCGTTGCTGACCATTCGTATACCTACCATCCAAGAGCGAGAGAGAGAGAGAGATGACCACTCATGCATAGGATGGAGCCTTGCCGCGGACCACTCGTGTATCTACGATCCAGGAGAGGGGCAGTGAGAAACAGAGATTTCCAGGATAATTAGATGCTGGCGTCCAAGTCCATCTTGACCACGGGGAGGTCCTTTCTGGTTGACTCGTCTTATACTGGATGAATAATAAGTGGGTCCCATAACGGATACAAGGATACCCAACGTTCTTATGGGCCTGAGCTTGGCTGAGAAAAAAGACAAAAGAGGGATCCGTTTTAATCCAAGCGCTGGAGCGCGGTACCGTGTCTCGCGTGGCGACAAAGCCTGGGGAGTGGGCCACCCCCTCTCAGTACTGTTGATTGACGGTGCGTCGGTGGGATCGATCCGCCCGCCCCGTGACTCTCTCTCTCTCTCTCAAAGCTCACGCCTCCTCTCCTCGCCCCTCGCTCGATAAAGAAAACTAAAATACAAACGCTATTTTTTATATTATTTGCAGGGATTTTAATACGCCACTTTCTCGAGTATTTGACCTCCTCTTCCTTTTGTGACGTCCTTGTAATTATTTGACGGCGACGGGCTTTTTTGTTAAATTAATCACGTGGGAGATGAAGATACCCTCGTGGACTTCTTCCTGCAGAGCGTGGCACAAGGTGCGAGCTAACGTTGAAGCCTTCACCCATCGCCCTAGATCACCGGCGACCCGGGCGTATTCTCGTCATTTCGTGGCTGTGATAGAAGCCCGTCACTCACCCCAATCGACCGTACAAGGCAAGTCAATGACATATTTTAAAGAAACAGTATTAATTTTTACTAAGGTGAAGCAAAGGTAACGATGACTTAAGGGGATAATGATTGCCCAAATTTCTTTCCCCATATATTTTGAAGGCTTTGGCGCCGCCTCCTCCGTTCGAAATAGTAACCAGATACTTAACGGGCGTTCTATTTTTTAATACTAAATATGCCAAATATCAGAGATATTTACTATTTTACTCCTACATTTTCTAGAAACCGCAGCTATATTTCAGATGCCGATATATGCGACAACTATACTTTGAGAAGGGAAATAAAACGTCGGCCGCGTCTAGAATCGCCCGAGCGACTGATTCCAGATATTTTAATAGTCCTACTATTCATCAATGTAATTAATATTCGAAAATGTCACATTCGGTCTCTGGGGGGTCGATGCGCGGCCGCGTCAACGCGGTTCCACAGTCACTCAGTCCACAGCTAGCCTAACAGCTGGGAATTAACTATACAAGACGGACGCTTAAACCTTTCACTAATTTAGATAGAGAGAGAGAGAGAGAGAGAGAGGAGCCGTCTGATATCTATTAGAGATGGGCGTGTTGTGTTACACTCTCAAGATGCCAAAATTAGAAAGTTGGGCGAAAAAATGATGAATTGTATCGATAGAATTTTTATTTTATTTTGGAAAACCGGATATGCCGCCGGATCCGATCTGATGGTGATCCAACTTAATTCGACCTCTCTGAACGTAATAATATCCCGACCTAAGCGCCGTCTCTCTCTCTCTCTCCACGCGTCGGACCAAGACGTCATTGGCGGGCAGACCTGTTCGTTCCCACTAACTATGCGGGCGCCGGCGGGGGAGAGAGAGAGAAGGGGGGGCAAAAATGAAAAGTGGTCGGTTGCAGAGAGAGAAAGTGGGATGGTGAGGGGGGCCTAAATAAATTGGGGGACGGAGGAGTCGGAAGTGTGGGACGAAGAGGAGGGGAACAGAAGAGGAAGAAGATAGAGAGGAGAGAGAGGGGACAGGAACGTTCCGTCTCCCCATCTCCCGTCTCTACTCCGTCCTCAAGCCCCCTGGTCTTCTCTCTGTCGCTCCTGCTTCGAGAAGAGGGAGGAAGGGGACGTCATTGCCACGGGTTTTCTCTGGCCTTGAATCAACCCTCTGATCGTTCCATTATCTCTGTGCTCTATCCGCCGGTGCTTCCCCTTGGCATTGGATATTTTTGTTGTTCGCATCTTTTCTCCTATCTGATCTCTCAGAATGGGGGTCTACGAATTGATTCACGGCGACGACAAAGACCAACACAACGACGTTGTCGACGGCAAGAATGAGCATCGGCTTCTTCTGGCGATGGAGGGAGGCTATACGTCGCGGGAACTCGAGTCCACCGCTAAAAAGCTCAGCGACGAAGATGTCGCCTCCGCGCTTGTTGTGTCTCATGGTGAAGATGCGGGGGCGGACACCTCGGGGGTTGGCTGTGCTGGTTGTTCGATGCAGAAGAAGCAGAGGGACAAGAAGCTGGCGTCCCAACAGGGCCGGCTTGTATCGCTGGACGTGTTTCGAGGCGTTACGGTGGCGGTAAGATCTTTTCTCTTTGCTAATATATTCAAAGCCTATCGATCTGCATTATGACGCGTTCAGATAGATTTGATCGTCATCTGATTTCAATTTCTCTCTCTGCCTGTTATTAAAATGAATCTGGGAGTAATTTCTGTTGAAAGAAAATCAGTAGCAGCCGATGAACGGCCAGATTGGAAAATCGTAGTCCGTAGATCTGGAATGTGCCTTCTCCATTTCCTTCTGGTACATGGGTTTTCATGGTCGGGGAGAAGAGAGGAATATGTAAGGTGTCTGGTCGTCTTTAAATTTTTTCTAAATTCTGCAAAGTATCGGAGATGATTCCACGAAACCGTGACTATTCCCATTTTGTTTTACATTTCTCCATTCCCCACAAAATTCCTCCCAATCTCAGATACGCAGGATGACAGAAGATGAACTACTGGTTTGGCTGGGATCCGATTTCTGTTGTTGTTTATGTTGCTTCCCGGCACATTAAATCCCGTCTTAAATATCGCCTGCAATCCGTCGCAATCTTCACGTAAAGGGTCATCATTGTTACCTTCTTCTCCACACTTCCCACAGCCTCCTTTGTCGCCACTCCATCTTCTGTTCCTTGGGCTGTCCCTCACTCTGCCTCAACGACTACGGACACGTCCATTCTTCCCCCTCGGAACGTGCTCTGCAAGCCACCTATGCCGTGAGCGTAAGGGGGGTTTCTGGCGCCGACTGAGTGATATATCCCAAAACGGGGAACAGAAATAATAAGCCTCTTACCATCGTTTTTACTTTCTGGTTCTCTTCCTCTACCCTGCCATTTTCGAGATTTCCTACCTTGGTCATGCTGTCCCTAGAGAATTCTTCTACTGCCTCAGTGATCACCGAAAGTGAAGGAAAAAAAGTAAAAATGTTACTATTTTTCTGGAAATCACCAAGGAGGATGAACGAGTGGCCACCACTAACACCCCAGATTCGACAGCCATTGTGGTTGCCGTCTCTGAAGCACGGGTGCTGGGTTCTATATGCCCTGCCACCCACCCCTCCTGTTCTTGTCGTCGATGGTGATGGTGGGCCAGTCCTACCCTCGTTTCTCTTTCTCTCTTTCCCTATGATCTCTTTGGTAGGATCCTTTTTCGTCATGCGAGCGTCGGTCTTTTCATTTCTCTCTCGCTGTCTTTGTATTAACAGTTCCCTCCGCGGTTTGGGTTGCCTGGTCCTTCCCCATACGGGGCTCTTGGACCCGCAGATAGATGGATGGATCTAGATCCAGTCCCTTTTTCCGGAAGGGAAAGGGATGGACGAAAGGGGCACGGACCGGAGTCTCGTGTCGCAACACGAGCACGCTGGATCCCCCCATCGATTATGCCCAACTACACAGGACAGACTGGGTGGAGGCTTTTCTTGGCGGCCTCTTGCGTCTCGTCGTAGGGCGGCGGAGGACGGCACCCCGGAGTTGTCGGGGCCAGTATGCCCAACTTCACAGGACAGGCCTTCTGCTTGGAGTCCAGGTGAGGGACTTCCGGGTTGTCGGGTCCCCTAACCGGGCCAGGGTGGGGTGAGGAAGGGAGGTCTTTTATTTTAGGTCCTGTCTGTAACTCAGTGGATTTTTTCTCGGGATGTGGTCGAGGCAAAAAGGTGTGCTTCCCCTTGCTAGTTGGTAGGCCGTGAAAGTTGAATATTTTATCAGATAATTGTCACGTCGCAGTCTTCCCTCTTGTCCTGTACCCAGCCCACCCAAAACTCGATTCCCGTACACTGTTGAGAAAGAAGAAATTCCCCTGATTTGTTACCCGGTTGACTCCACAAACCTTTGGTGGTTTCCCCAGGCGTCCCTAGCTGAAGCACCGGAGGATTTCCCCCAGTGAGTAGATACGGAACGTGGCCGTTTCTCTGTAGCGTCCCTTGTTCCAGCGGGGGACGACGCCGTGGAGGGTGTATTGTACGGCCAGCGGTGCATCTGCACCATTCCCCTAATTAGATGCTTTAGAGTCCTGTAGGCCGGCAGAGATTAGCATACGTCTGCACTGGCTATATTTTTTATTAAAGACTTGGTTGAAGGAAGAAGACAATGCAGGGGCCTTTTTGATATTTTCCGCTCTATTCATTCAACGTTATCCTGCTAGCGTACCGCAGGGTTCGAGTAGGTTGAGCTAATGGGTCTCTACTTGTCGTACATGTGACATTCTCGTGGATTCTTGTGAGAGGCTAATAGTAATCTTAATCTAAATATCGTATAAAATATGATACTGTTGTTAACCCTTCGTCAACTTGAGTTCCGTCGATATTTACCTTGCCTTTCCGTTCCGTTGTGATTTATTCACCATAAATGCACACTTATAAAATGTATGGAACTGTGGATTAACCGTAGGGATGGATCTATTTATTTAATCTTGCTTTCCATTCGCTTATTTATCTTTGGAGCGAAAAGATTTAGAGGGGTAGAACCTTCTGGGAATGCTGATTAGTTCGGTCGATTTTTGGTTTCTCAGTAGGTCCCGATGTTAGGTTTCTTTCTCGCCAGGCTAAAGTTTACCGAATTGGATGCTGCGATTGGCTGGCGTCAAACATTGATAGCATATTAAGTAAAATTAGGTTTCTACGCCTTACGGCCTAACTGATTCGTCATTGCCTTGCTCGCCTTAGTCACGGCACCTTCATATAAATGATATGGGGTTGACCACATCCCAGGAAAAATCCGTGGGTATTGTTCTATGATCCTTAGTCCTGCTGATACAACTTTCTACAGTGGAATGTGCATTGCCTCGCTGAAATTATTTCAGACATCTCCATGTGATAAGCCTTTCGAGTCCGAAGCACCTGTGAACTCGGGACTTTCTTTCATTGAACTTGGATTTTGTAATCTGTTTTATACCTCTTGATTCTCTGCTTGTCCAAAAGGGTCATATTAGAAATTTCTGAGTGCAAGGGCACACCGTCGTTCAACGGATATTAATCATGATGTATTTGGTTGTGACGTTGCCTTGATAATCTTCGTCACAGTTCGTGTTCATCATATGTGCTATATTGTCATAATATATATTACTTTGTGATCATATTGTGATGCATTCTCTGATGTCTTTATCCCATGCAGCTAATGATATTTGTGGATGATGCTGGTGGACTATTTCCTGCAATAAATCATTCACCTTGGAATGGAGTTACCCTGGCCGATTTTGTCATGCCATTCTTCTTATTTATCGTCGGAGTTGCATTGGCTTTTGCTTACAAGGTAACTCTTTTGGACGCATACTATAACGTTCAAGGTTTAAAATAAAATCTTAGAATCAGGTTTAGTTTCTGTGTCATCCTAGTATGCATATTATGCTTCATCCTCCTTTTAAAGCATCTAATGTTTCAAGCTGTGTACAGAGAGTCTCAGACAGAGGTGTAGCAACACGAAAGGCCATTCTTCGCGCTCTAAAGCTCTTAGTTCTTGGCCTTGTCCTGCAAGGTTTGTGACACCATTACATTGATCGTAACATTTGATTTTTCTTATGGATCAGTATTTATTGAGTCAGTCTTCGTATCTAGTTTTCAAACTTCTATCTCTCAGGGGGGTACTTCCACGGGCTTAACAACTTAACTTATGGTGTTGACATATTAAACATCCGCTGGATGGGTGTACTTCAAGTAAGCCTCTTCCTGTATGCTTTTTGTTTTCACCCAGACTTATTTCTTGGCTTTTTACATGGTTTCACCCGATTTTGACAGCTTTGCTGCTGTCCAATTTTTTGTAAAAATCAACAGCGTGCTATTATTGTCTCATGTTTTGAAAGATTGTTAGCACGCCTTGGGAGTCAGAGATTTAATTTTTTATCGGATATCTCCTTGCTGGACAATAATTGTTTAGGCCACGTAGCTTCATCCTGTGATGTCGGATTTGTTAAAACTCATGTGCATTCTTTGCTTGTGGGCTAATCGATTGAGGGTACGAAAATCGGATTCCATTTTACTAATACTTGGTTTATTTCTCTTGTTCATTCTTTTTCTTTTTTTCCTGCAGAGAATAGCATTCGCTTATTTGTTAACAGCCGTATGTGAGATTTGGGTCAGAAATGATGAGGATGTTGATTCGGGGCTCTCTCTGCTGAGGAAGTATAGGCTGCAATTGTGAGTTCTACTCTTTCCCATTGCTTGATCATCCAATCATGACCATCTTTTTCTTTCATATCCCCGTCTTAGCCCACTATGTGCCCACTTGGCAAAATATGAGGCCGCAGCTAATCTACAGGCTTGATAAAACATCAACAAGCATTGCCGAATACCAACCAGATCAGATGCAGCTAATCTACTTTCACTTTAACTCCGCAAGATAGTGGAAAGCCGATGTGGGCATGGACTCATTCTCATTGACTAATCTGATATTTTGATTATTCCAATTCGATTAAAGTCGGCAATTTGTTTGACTTAAAGTTTGTACCTCATTGTTAGATCACATCCCATGACAGGTTACGAATCTGCAAGTGAGTCCTACAATAAACATTCCTCGCCTAATCCCAGTTCATTTCAGGTTGGTGGCTCTGCTACTATCAGCGACCTACATTGCTCTCCTGTACGGTCTATATGTACCCGACTGGGAATACCAGATACCCAGTGAAGGCCTTTCACCCAAGACCTTTCAGGTGAGTCCTCAAACCTCTCACCGCACGTTGGAAAACTCTTCTTCTCCGTCGAACGTCACACCAACTCGCATGATTCGCTCATCTTTTATTTAACAATTCTTCGCCCCCTTCCCCCTCTTAATCAGGTGAAGTGTGGTGTCAGAGGAGACACTGGGCCTGGGTGCAATGCCGTGGGAATGATTGACCGCAAGGTGCTGGGCATTGAGCACTTGTACAGAAGACCCGTCTATGTTCGGACGGGGGTACGTTCTGCGCCTATAGATGAGTAATTGCTCATTGAACCTGACCTCATCGATGCTGATAATCTCTGGGTTTTTCCTCTTTTTCTGGCTGACAGCAATGCAGCGTCAATTCACCCGATTACGGCCCGCTTCCGCCTGATTCCCCTGGATGGTGCCAAGCCCCCTTCGATCCTGAAGGGCTTCTTAGGTGGGTCGTCACCTTGGATTCTGCCAGCGGGCGTTCTTCTCTAGGGTTCCTACTAGCTTCGGGCAGTAAATCATGAAAAGAGGAACCGGGCATCGTTCCCATGTTTGTGGGGAAGGCCCAGAATCTCTCGTTGCTCCATAATCGAGCTCTCTCGTTGCTCATCGGCCCCCTGTTTGTTATGTTCCCTTGCAGTTCGGCGATGGCCATCGTTACCTGCTTGATCGGGTTGCAGTTTGGGCACGTCATTGTGCATTTTAAGGTTTGTACACCTCTGCCCTCCGTCCGGGCGTGCTGGGGAGATAAACTATTTCCCTTTGATTTCTGATGGATTGAACTGATCTGCTCCTTGCAGGATCACAAGGACAGGATTCTGCGGTGGATGATGCCCTCCTTCTGCATGCTGGCCGTGGCCTTCTCCATGGATTTCTTCGGTACGGAGTATTTATTGACGATTCTTTATTCATTGCAGTCCTTCCCCCCTGGATTTTTTGCTCTTCTTCCTCTCCTAAGCTCCTGCCCTCATTTCTTTCAGGAATGCACATGAACAAGGCTCTGTACTCGCTCAGTTACACCTGCGCCACCGCTGGCGCTGCCGGGATCCTCTTCACTGGAATCTATGTCCTGGTAAGAAGAGGGAGACTACTCTCTGATCAAACAGTTCATGGTTACTTACACTAATGATTCCTTAACGTCCATTCGATGTATGTTCACTGTCCGGCTCTCTCTCTCTCTCTCTCTCTCTCGAGATATCTCTCCCTATTTATTTATCTCTAGTGGTGGGTTCCCTATTTTTCACAGGTCGACGTTTACGGCTACAGGCGGCCCACGCTTGTGGTCGAATGGATGGGCACGCATGCTCTGATGATCTACGTCCTCCTCGCATGCAACATCTTCCCGGTGCTCATCCAGGGCTTCTACTGGGGAGACCCCAAGAACAACATCGTGAGCACCCTCCGCTCTCTCTCTCTCTCTCTCTCTCTCTCTCTGTCTTTCCCTCTCTAACGTGGGGACGTTTGTGTGGCGAACAGCTGCACCTGGTGCGAATCGGAGTGTGACCCGTGGGGGCCGCCGTTTTCGTCACTCGCGCTCTTCTTCTCGTCGAACCGTATATATATATATATATAAATATTTCATGGAGTCCGCGCGGTTGGCTCTGCCACGGCAGCGGGAGGTGGAGGGTTCTCGGAAATTTTGTACATCATATAGATGACGATGCTTGTCCCGCATATCGGCGGGGTTTCTCGGCCTCTCATGCCTCACCTTCTTATCACCAGATATGCCCCCACCTTTCCGCCTGTCAGATACACGTGACACATTGATGTAGAGCGAGAAAGACGGAGAGCGCGCGCGCGCGCGAGAGAGAGAGAGATATCACCTTAATGAGTAGCCGATGGCTGAGCAGGATGGTCGTCTACTGAGTCATTGCTTGCATCACTCGTACGTCCAGAGCGGCAGAAGTCAGAGAGGTCACAACCATTCCTCACATTGGAATCAAGTTCAGGAGTTTTAAATTAGGCAGAGATTCATGACAGGCCCCCACAGATTTCCTTTATTAAATCGCATACAGTCTTGCCCTTCCACATGTCGTTGATCAACATAATATCCAGCTACCATATCGCCATAAATGCACCTACTTTGACCGGCCATTCACAGAAGCTATAGTCAACTTCGGTTAAGCGGATGGCTTGCTCTGGAGACGTGAGAACGGAATTTCTTCCAATTCTGAAACGGAAATGCACTCCCACGCTACTGGGAGTCGAATTGGAATACAGATTTTTTATTTTGCCACGTGATCTTGAAATTCTCTCGGGGTGAACTCTTTCCAGCAGTAGAAACGTTCTTCATACCCCACAAAGACGATGGCAGAGCACGCGGTAATTACTAGGAAAGCGCATCAGATTAATCAGGTCAACACTTTAGGAAGCCCAGATTAGAAATCAATGCGCGTCGGCATTACTGGATGATTTTTCAAACGCAAAAGAGCATTTTTTTAGTACCAGACTGGGACCATGACCACGTGAGAAGAGATGGAAGCATCTAAGTTTCCAGACCAACAATCTGAAGCCGGCGCAACCGGTTCCAATCTATTTGAAAACAAGTTAGAGATAGAACGCTTTAACGAGATTAATATTTTTTGACCAATTTTCAAACCGACGAGTCCTGCTCTTACCTTCGAGAAAGCACTCTTGGAATGGATTGGTGCCTAGATGAAAGTAATGAAATGCACTCTTGCAGTATGATATAGCAAATCGGTTCACGATATTTCCAAAATATACCCCGAAAAAGGAAAAGAGAACAGATGGAAGAGCACGTGGACTTGAGAGTGTGCGTACCAAGCTTCATGTATAATCGCAGCATGTGGGTCAAATGATATTCCAATTTCCTCGCTTCATTGAATCGAGTGGGTGTGAAACATTTGATCCATTTGGACGCAGAGACGTGAAGATACGCCACTAGAACTGAAAGGTTTTGATGGAAAAATAATTTGTTGCGGATAATCCCATATTATCCTGGGCATCTTCATGGTGTGGATCAGTCCACCTTTCGATCTTATCAAGAAAATCAACTCCATGGTACGTACTCGTGCCGCTCACCCGCCGGACACGTCGCTAACGAAGAAATACAGACATGAAGTCAGAAATCAGAGTGGAGAATTGAATCGAGTTTACTTCCCAGTTAATCTCTCCCTACCATACTAGTCGCCTTCCATCCACGTTCTAAACGACCGAAACTAGGCAGCCCAATTTAGCAGAGGCCAAAAGAAGAGTTAAGATAGAGAAGACATGGGGTGCACAAATTACATGTATCGTCCTCTCTCGTCGTTCTCCTTCTCCCCTCTCCATGTAGTTTTCACCGGTGCAGCGGAGGCACTTCTTTCTCTCTCTTCCCAACCGAAAGGGCATCCTTGTAGTATCCTAACCCATCTATGCTACTGGGCCTCGACAGTCCTGGTGGACGTTGCCAGAGCTGATGAAGAAGATGCCGGGGTAGCCGACTGGCTGTGAGAGTTAGCCCTGTGCAGCCTGCACCTGAAGGATCCTGCGTGTGTTGCCGGGGCGCACACGCACTTTGGCAGCTCTCCTGCGACTTGGTTCTCCCCATGCCCATATGACTGCGCTGGTAACTGGGAGTAATCAGCCGGACAGGACTTCTTGGTGCTGATGTTCTGCGGGGTCTGCTCGCGATGATGGAGACGGTTATTCTCCTTGTTCCTGTGGGACATGGTTGCGGCCGTATCTCTCCGAAAAACCTGTTGAACAAGCCGTTCGAGTAAAGAACGAAGGATGGACTTTGCCGCATTCCATTATTTATCACGACGGGGTGAAAACCTCTCCTTCTCGGCCGGAGGCACTGAGTCCATCCTTTCCTTCCTCACTACGTATAGAGGGCCCGAAAAATCAATGTACCAAACACGGTAAAAAATAAAACTTATAACCAAATGTACGTCCGCCTTCTAAATTTTGCTAAATCTGTTTTTACTAACTTTGCTAAAAAATGACAGAGCAGCAGATGTCGATCGAAGAGTCCGGGACCTATCCAACTTAAAAAAGTACGCGAAGAGAGAAACCGGAAGGCAATATGTAACACTTTTACATTAAAAAATAACGGTATATCTCCAACCACTCGTTGAAAAATCTTCTACCTGTAACGTAAGAAAGCAGCGGCGGCGGCGGCGGCAACGGCAACAGCAGAAGGCTCAGTTTAGCTCCGTTCTTCTTGCACCCACACCAATTCGATTTCAATGATCGGAGACCTGAAGAAAATAGCCAAGCACAGGCAGAGGAGTGCAAAGCCAGCTGAAGTTCAGCAAACTACATTCTTCATGCCGCCCATCCAATTTATAGGCACGGTTGGCAGAGAGAGCTGCCCTGAGTTCCGCCGCATGGCCCTCTTGAAGATAAGCCACCCTTCACCTGCAGAAATCCTTTTCCTAGGTGCATATCCAAGCCGCGGAAATGGGGCGGTGGATCAAGCTGGACTGACACGTGTACGTCGTACGATTACTTGGTCGGCTTGGCGGCGGAGGAAACGTATCCTTCGCGGGGACACGTGCGTTAAGGCGGACCACATTAGCCTTCCACGGGGAACCGTCGTTGTCGGCCGACAGCGGTGATCTAGAGCAAAGGCTCAGCTCCCTAGAGGGGAGGTCCACTAAGCATACCGTCTGTGTCGAGTCACACGGGATGGTGACTGAAATCTATTGGGGCCGTGCATTGCGTCGAATTATGGCCAAAATCTTTCTCCATGATGCTTTGAATCCCCGATGTAAATCGGGCTGACCCTGTTTTTATGTTCGGACGTGATTTAGAGGCCCAAATTGAGAAAAAAGTGGGCCGGGCATCGGCCACACCCGGCCCACTAATATTTGCAGATGTGGTTGTGAGGGAGTTGGAAGGAAGAGCCAGACGGGAAGAAACCAAGTGTGATCCCATCTTGTAGTGCCCAAAGCTTTATTTGGGCAACACAGGGGGGGAGTTTGGGCTATATTTGGCTGAGCTCGAGACTCCCTAGGCCCATTGGGCCCGTATTGGGAGGAGGAGGTACTAGAAAGGGGCCATGAAGATTTCTGAAGATAAATGCCAAGCAATTATGCCATCTAGCAAATAAACCTGAGGGGCTCAATAGAAGCCATCATGACTTGTGAGTCATGCCTGCACTGGACCTATGCAAGGACATTGTCATTAAGACAATTGAGACATGATAGAGTATTAGGAGAGGAAGAATGGGGAGAGTAGCAAAGAATAGCTGACATAGAAGGGAAGAATAGAGAGGGCAGGTCACACGAACTTCTGTCTCTCACTCTCTCCTATCTATCTATCTATCCTTGCATAGGTTAAAGATATGTGGGTATCTATTAGGTCAGATTTTTTCTTGATTTTCTTTGGGCCTCACTAATTTTGACATTTTAAAATCTGCTTCAATTTGAGCTAATACCCAGGGTTTACTAACTACTAGCAGTAGGCACACTACATAACAAGATTTTGTTGCAGCAATAAATAAAATTCCATTCTTAAATGTTTTCATTAAAAATAAACACATGTATATAAACAATAAGAATGGACTTGGAGAAAGGGGGGAGGAACTAAGAGAGCATATAAGAAGATGAAGAGGGCAATGAGCTAAGAATAGAAGATCATGGGATTAAGGATAGCACAACCTAAGACAAAATGAAAAAAGAGAAGTAGAAGGTGGGGAGAAAAGTGTGAATGAGATTTAATCACAACTTACTCAAGGGAGTTGAATAAAAGAAAGATCAAGGAATAAGTGATTTAGAGAGGATCACGGATTTAAAGATGAGAAAATAGTAGTCGATGGAAATAGGGAGGAAACATCACCTCGGGAATCAGACTCAAGGTTCATTACAATGAATAAATAAGCTTTCCTAGATTCAAAGAATTGTAAAGATTCAATTAAGGATTATAGGGATAGAAAATCTATTGAGGGAACAAAAAGGGATCAAGTGAAGAAGGAGAGTGATAAGTCTTCATTTTCAATTGATTAACATGAATTTTTGGATAATTATGTAATTTTGATATGAATTTATATGATTTTTATAGTCTTACTTTTGAGATAAATGAAGAAAAAAAAAATAATAACAAAATGGGGAGGAGCTATGAGTAGGGGCTCGAGCGGCTAGGACCAATAGGGGCACGTGTACGTCACTCCCCTTCCACGTCACCGGTGGCCAGTCGGCTATGGGGCAAGGAGTGGTCATACACGCATGAGAAAGGGACTTGATCGAAAATGTAATATTATTATATATTCATCAGAAATGTCGGCGCACAATTGATGTGGGACTAAACCCGCGTCACACCTTCCCTAGAAAGGGCGGGCAATCGGCGGGGGTTCGAATCCTCTTAGAGCCAAAACTCATATTTTTTATCTGATTATTGTAACTTTCCTGCAGATCGCTAGTGAAGGATTAAGCAACTAGAATCGTTGGATCATCAGCGAAAATCTCATCAACGCGATTTGTCGAGCATTGTTATTAAAATTGTTGAATGATTCGCGATAAAAGGATCACAAATCCATCGAGTAAGGCATCTCCGATTGATCGACGAACAAGTCGTCATTGAGAAGAGGACGGTCCGTCGGGAGACGAGTCACTACCTCCTAAGAGCGTACCGGATGCGATGAAGAGCCTCCTCTTGCTGCGCAGACCTGAGGATGAAGCTCCCTGACATGCGCCCTACCTTCATTCAGCTCCTCTCTGTTGGGTGACAACCGTCGGAGAGCAGCAAAGTCACTGTTTTTCCACTCCGCCAGGTGACAGCCGCTAGAGATAATTTGACGACCCATTTCATTGATCTCTAGACTTCGCAAGGAGATCTAGAGATTTCTCATGTCGTCCTTGTCCAAGGAGAGCCTTCGAGGCCATGGACACTACATAAAGATCCTCCTAAATGCTCAAGATTTTGGTGCATCACCGACGCATCACCATTGTGACGTTGAAACTTTGTTTTCCTAATTTCAACTTAATTTTCGCTTCATTTAGTGATAATTTATGTGATTTAAATTTACCAAGATATACTTCATTCAATTACGATTCTTCTGACTTTTACAGATCTTAATTTGATCAATTAAATCATTTGTAATCGGTTACATAAGAATCGTCGGGTAGAACTCTATTTCCATCAGATTCGCATTCGTCGGGTGCTAACGTCATCCTCACATCCGCACCCTTATTTTCCTTTTTCATGAATTTTAAATATATTTCCTTTTTATTTCTTAGTATAAAATTAATAGAAAATAGTATTCTTTGAGGAAAATTCTGAATAATTACCAGATATTATATTACATCCCTATGATCGACCTAAAAAATTACCGTTATTTTTGGAAGTTGTATTGAATTATAATTGATATATTTGTTTAGAAATACTTTTAAATATCTGAAAATTCATATTTTCTAGTTTTATAAATTTTAAATTTACGTGATTTACTATACAACGACTAAGTCACGTCAAAAAGTAAGTTAAAAAATATAGTTGGAGAAATAGATGAGGAAAGAAAAGAAAACGGGGTAGATAAGCAAGAATTGTGGGTATGGATAAGAGACATAAGGAGATAGAAAAGGAAGTGACTCGAACTGCATAGTTATATGGCAGAATGAGGGACATAAGGTGGGGAGTAGAAGATCAACAAGGTTGACCAAGAGATTTAGTCAATCTGCATGGGAATTAAATGATTAAGATATTAATCTGGAACTGTGAGGGAATTGAAAATATACTTACGTGAACCACACTCACAAAACTTATAAATCAAGTTAGAATACAAATAGTAACAATAATTGAACCAAAGATTGAGGAATGGAAATCAGGACAAATCAAGATGGATATAGGAATGGATAGAGTTTGGTGTAACATGAATAAAAAAAATATGGAACATGTGGTTTGATTAGGTAAGGATGGAGCTAGTAATGGACCATGATCAATTTGTTTCATTTAATTTTAGACATAATAGAATAAAGGGTAAGATAATTACAATCTATGCATCTTGTGAGGTAGAGTAAACAAGGGCTATATGGATGGCAAAGAGGAGGATCACAAGGAGGATATACCACACATACTTGGGGGAGGGTTTAACACTATTAGATGCCCCTAGGAAAAAGTGGGGGGGAGGAGCTGCCCCCAACATAGGATTAATGACTGAATTCAATAAATTCATACAGTTTTTGCATTGCATAGAACCAAAGCATGTAGGCAATCCACTATCCTAGTGTAATGGAGTGAGAGGAATATATAGGATTTACCAATGCTTTGATAGATGTCTTGTAAACTTGAGGGTGATGGAATCAACTCTTATAGAGGTAGAATATTTACTAAGATTGTTATCAGACCATTCACTTATGTTAGTAAAGAAGGTTATAATGATTAGAAAATGAGCGGGTCCTTTAGATTTCAAAACATGTGAATGTTACATGATGATTTTAAAAAAATTGTAGCTAGTAAGTGGGTCGGAAATATTTCATGCAATGCACTAGAAAATTTAAGATACAAGATCATAAATATGAAAAGCACCTATGGTGGTGGAATAAAAATATGTTTGGATATATAAACTCAAGGATCAACAATTCTAGAGAAAAGAATTAAGACTGTTGAAGAAGAGTTACAAGTAGAATGGAACTAAGGAAGATGAGAAACACTACTAAACTTGAAAAAAGATATGGAAAACATACTACTGCAGCATGAAGTATTCTTAATCAAGCAACATAATAGAGTCAAGTGGCTACAAGAAGGGGATAGAAGCACGTTTTTTTCTCATACAACTATAAAGGTAAGATGAATGAGGAGCTGCTTCCAATCATTGGTGAAATAATATAATGAAGAATGGGAAGCAATTTAGTAAAGGGGTAAGGAATATTTTTGGAAAGTAAAGATCAGCCCCTATGAGCAACCATGTGGAAATGTTATATGTTATGCAAGATGTCAAATGATGAAAAAATTAGCAAGATAATATTGAGCATGAAGATAAAGAGTGTGTCAAGGCGAGATAAAATGAGGGTCAAGTTTTATATTTCATGTTGGGACATTATAGGAAAAAATGTGTGCCTAGTGGTGAAAACATATTTTGACACCTCACCTGCCATATTTATGAAAGTCCTCTTTCATAGCTTTAATCCTGAAAGTTGAGAACCCAAAATCATTTCTTGATTTTAGGCTAATTAGTCTATGCAATGTGTTATAGGATTATATCCAAAATATTTTGTAGGAGAGTTAAAGGAATTATGTTGATGATAATATCTAAGGAACAATGAACATTTGTTGAAGGAAGAATGATTCAAGAAAATGTGGCACTTGTTTAAGAAATGACACTATCAATTGAGAGTAAGGTTTGAGGATCAAACATGATGGTTAAATTGGACATGGAAAAAGCTTATGATTAGATATAATGACCCTTCATCATACGTGTGCTAAATTTTTTGATTTCAACTATAAATGGATCGGGTGGATATCAAAAACCATTTCTAATAACACAAAATCACTTCTTCCTATTAATGGATAGAACCATGACCTCCTTTTTCACATCAAGTAGGGGCTTGAGGCAAGGTGATCCCATTTCACTTACTTTACTCATTAATGTGCACTTGTTGTTGTGTTTAAATACGCATTATCTAATAATATTTATAACTAAGATAATTAAATATTAGTATAGAAGTAAGTCTTAGGTTGAACATAGAGATTGACTAATAATCCGTTGTGAAAACTAATTTAGTTTATATATAAAGTGATTTTCATATTTATTCTTATTTAATAGAAATATTAAAATAGAAGGATGAGATGAGAAGAATAAAGAAAAGGAAGCGGGGAAAGAAAGGAAAAAAGAGAGAGAAGAGAGAGCTCTCACGAAGTATGAGAGAAGAGATCTTTCGCAAAAGAGAGAGAAAGAGAGGAGGAAATCTCACATGAGACAGAGAAAGAGAAAAGTCTCACGAGAGAGAGAGAGGGGGAGAGAGAGGAAGAGAGAGGGAGAGAGAGGGAGATCAATTGAGAGAGACAAAGAGAAGGAGATCGATCAAGAGAGAGGGAGAGAGAGAGAGAGAGAAAGGGAGAAAAAGGAAGAGTTTCTCACGAGAGACGGAGATAGAAGAGAAGTCTCACAAGAGAGGGAGAGAGAAAAATAAGATGAAAATGAAGAAAGAGAGAAATAAGGTCAACTTGTTCTCATAGGGACCATTATTCTTAGATGAATGTGTACTCAAGAATTCGCACACATGACATGAGGTCAGTCATAAATGTCTCTAGATTGTTTTAATAGTTCAACGATCATTAAGTAACCTTTAATCTTGCTGATTTTGTGTTCAAAATAGAAAATAAGATAGAAATGATCTTTAACTTAATTTCAGACGAGTTTTAGAAGATTTAAAAGAAGAACGAAGATCATTCATCAAGTTTTGAATTAATCCTACTCATTTCAATCAAAATATGAATGAAATAAAAATAATTTGTCGTAAAATATAAATAAATGACAAAAGCAAATAAGTAAATACTGAAAGTAAGAAATAAATTATTGCCCAAGTTTAATTTACCTCTTCAGCAACTAGAGACATTGGTGTGCAAGTTTAATTTCGTTTGGACATGTCACACCATGTCAGAACTCACAAAGTATCATCTGAAAGTATTGCGCTGCTTGCTAGAGAGACCTACCAAAAGAAGGGTTGATCAAACTATTGCCATCATCTAGGGGGAGAAGCGAAGAGCTGACCACTTGTTGGAGGCCTTGAGGGAGGAAGAAACAAACTTTGCCAATTGCTAGAGACATTGATTGCACAAAAGGAGGGAGAAAATGGATTGTCATATTCACGACTATTGTTGGGACTTTAAAGATAATTGATAATATTTATTTTACCAATTAATAATTAATTATTGTCTTTATATCCCTAATAGTGATACGTGCGAGAACTTAAGTTTCTGATATCGTGGTGCTTCATGTGTTGTTGAACCAAATGTGCTTGATCACGTGGCGTATTGAGTGATGTAGGATCAACCCATCAACCACTGCCAATCAAAAACTTAAGTTCTTAGTATTGTGGTGACTCCTTAGCCGTCGAATCATCTTTTAAGGTCACATGAGTGTTGAGTAGTGTCAGATTTGTGAACCGCCAATGGATCGCTTTATGCATTTGATATTGTGGCGGCTTGCCAGCCTTAGGGTCTAGCTCATTTAATGACATGGCTTGTTGAATACCACTTGATCACACCACACTCTAGATAGCTGCTATGAGATAGATGAAAACCTTTAGTACCACATCAGAAATATTATGGATGTATGAGCCAAATATAAATCAAAGCTACTGCTTCTTATCAAAGATCCCTTCTCTTGAAATAAAATAATGCCCATGACCATCTTGGGAGATGGCGAAAAGGTGGTCCACCATCGCACGTGCATGTGTGTATGATGCTCCTTGCTCCTTGAGACATGACACGGGAGTGATGCACACATGTGCGGAACGAGTCCTTTGCCACTTGATAAGTCTTCATTATCATGAGTCAATAATTAGTAAATAATATAGTTTAGCCTTAACTCATGATAAATAGATTTATATTTGTGTTAAAGTGTGAAAAGTGGTTTTCAGTTAATTAATGTGAATTTTTGGATAATTATGTGATTTTATATAAATTTATATGATTTTTAAAATTTTACTTTTGAGATAAATAAAGAAATAAAAACAAAAATATAACAAAATGGAGGAGACCCACCGACCAGCATGGCCCGTAAGCAGGTCGGAAGTGCAATCAGGAAGGAGTCGCGAGTAGAGGCTCGAGTGGCTAGGACTAATAGGGGCACGTGTGTGCCACTCTCCTTCCATGTCACTAGTGGCCAGCCAGCTGTGGGGCAAGGAGTGGTCATCCACACAGAGGAAAGGGACTTAATTGTAAATATAATATTACTATATATTCACCACAAACTTTCGCGCACATGCGATGTGAGACTAAACCCACGTCACACCTTCCCTAGAAAAGGTTCGATGATTTTAATACCTAAAATATCCTTTATTTATATAAAAAAATACCATGATGACGTCATTTGATAAGAGCATTAGAGTACTTATGTCAATTTCTCTCATGTAGGTGGGCAACCGACGTGGGTTCAAATCCTCTCAGAGCCAAAACTCATAATTTTTATCTGATTATCACGACTTTCCTACAAATCGCCGGTGAAGGATTAAGCAACTAGAATCACTGGATCATTGGCAAAAATCTCATCAATGTGATTTGTAGAGCATTGTTACTAAAATTGCTGAATGATTCGTGATAAAAGAATCGTGAATCCATCGAGTAAGGCATCTCCAATTGATCCACAAACAAACCATCGTCAAGAAGAGGACGATCTGCCGAGAGACGAGTCGCCACCTCCTGAGAGCGTACCGGATGCGATGAAGAGCCTCCTCTTGCTGCGCGGACCTGAGGATGAAGTTCCCTAACACGCGTCCCACCTCCATCTAGCTCTTCTCCGTCGGGTGACAGCTATTGAAGAGCCGCAAAGTCACCATTTTTCCGCTCCCCCGGGTGACAGCTGCCAAAGATGATTTGACGACCCATTTCATTGATCTCTAGACTTCGCAAGGAGATCTAGAGATTGCCCATGTCGTCCTTGTTCAAAGAGAGTTTTCGAGGCTGTGGACACTACATGATGATTCTCTCGAACGCTCAAGATTCTGGTACATCGTCGACGCATCACCGCTGCGATGCCAGAACTATATTTTCCTACTTTCAACTTAATTTCTGCTTCATTTACTAACAATTTGTGTGATTTAAATTTACCAAGATATACTTCATTTCATTGCGATTCTTCTAGCTTTTACCGATCTTAATTTGATCAATTAAATAGTATGTAATTGCTTATGTAAGAATCGTCGGGCGGAACTCTATTTCCACCTGATTCGTGTTCGCCGGGTGCTGACGTCATCTTGACGTCTGCACCCTTATTTTCCTTTTTTGAGAATTTTAAATATATTTTATTTTCAATTCCTAGTGTAAAATTCATAGAAAATAGTATTCTTTGAGGAAAATTCTGAATAATTACTCGATATTATATTACATCCTTGTGATCGACCTAGAAAATTATTGTTATTTTTGGAAGTTGTATTGAATTATAATTGATATATTTTTTCAGAAATACTTCTAAATATCCAAAAATTTATATTTTCTAGTTTTATAAATTTTAAATTTGCATGATTTACTATACAACGACTAAGTCACGTCATCAATCGAGCTTAGCTTGTGGCTCCCTCAATCTAGGTCTACCCACATGACGTGACTTAGTTGTTCTATAGTAAATCACGTAAATTTAAAATTTATAAAACTAAAAAATATTAATTTTAAGATATTTAGAAGTATTTCTGAACAAGTATATTAATTATAATTCAATAAAATTTTTAAAAATAATGGTAATTTTCCAGGTCGATCACAAAGATGTAATATAATGTCAAGTAATTTTTTAAAATTTGCCTCAAAGAATACGATTTTCTATGAATTTTATAGTAAGAAATGAAAATAAAATATATTTAAAATTCAAGAAAAAATGAAATAAAGGTGCAGACATTAGAATGACATTAGAGCTTGACGAAGGCAAATCAGACGGAAATAGAGTTTCGCTCATTAATTCTTACATAAGTGATTAGAAACAATTTAATTGATCAAATTAAGTTATGTAAAAGCTGAAAAAATTATAATTAAATGAAGTATAGCTTGGTAAATTTAAATCACATAAATTATGACTAAATGAAAAGAAAATTAAGTTGAAAGTAAGAAAAAAGAGTCTTGGCGTCGCGGTGGTGATGCGTCGGTGATGCACCGGAATCCTAAGTATTCGGGAAGATCATTGTGTAGTGTCTATGGCCTCGAAGGTTCTCCTTAGACAAAGATGACGTAGTCAATCTTTAGATTTTCTTATGAAGCTTAGAGATTAATAAAATAGGTCATTAAATCATCTTCGGCAGCTGTCATCTGACGGAGTAGAAAAATGATGACTTTGTGACTCTTCGGCGATTGTTACCTGATGAAAAAAAGCTAGATGAAAGTGGGGCACGTGTCAAGGAGCTTCATCATCAGGTCCACCCAACAAGAGGAGGTTCTTCTTCGCATCTAGTATGCTCTCAGAAGGTGGCGACTCATCTCCCAATAGATCATTCTCTTCCCGACGACGTCTTGTTCGTCAATCAATCGGAGATCATTTACTCTATGGATTCGCGATCCTTTTATCGCCAATCGTTCAATAATTTTAGTAACAATACTTCACGAATCACATTGACAAGATTTTCGCCGATGATCCAGCAATTCTAGCGGCTTAATCCTTCACCAACGATCTATAGGAAAGTCATGATAATTAGATAAAAATACGAGTTTTGGTTCTGAGAGGATTCAAACCCACGTTGATTGCTTGCCTACATGAGAGAGATTGAAATAAGTACTCTAATAGTTTTATCAAATGACGTCATCATGATATATCTCTATTATAACTAAGGGGTAGTTTAGGTATTAAAATCTTTGAAGCCTTTCGAGAGAAAGTGTGATGTGGGTTTAGTCCCACATCACTTGTGTGCTGATGTTTTGGGCAAATATATAGTAATATCACATTTACAAGTAATGAATCTCTTTCTCTCGCATGTTCGACCACTCCTTGTCCCATAGCCAGTTGCCACCGGTGATGTGCAAGGGGAGTGACGCAAACGTGCCCCCATTGGTCCTAGTCACTTGAGCCCCTGCTCACAGCTCCCCCTGACTGCACTTCTGACTCACTTGCGGGCCCAATTGGCCAATGAGTCTCTCTTTTTAACTATATTTTTATTTAAATTTCTTTTTCTTCATTTATCTCAAAAATAGGACTATAAAATTATATAAATTTTTAGAAAATCACATAATTAGTCAAAAATTTACATTAAGTAATTGAAAACCACTTTTCACAATTTAATAAAATATAAGTCTATTTATCATGAGTTAAGGTTAAACTATATTATTTACTAATTATTAACTCATGATAATGAAGACTTATCACCACTCGACCTCAGCACCCCCCTCTAGGTCAGCTATCAAGTGTTGACTTGCAAGTGAACGAAATATTTTTTTATATTTTATTCTTTCATATTTTTAAATAATCTAAAATTATGCTAAGTATTTTAACTTCAGACTTCTAAAATTAACAATATATCCTATATTTATTCTGCAAGTTAACAAAATAAAATAAATTAATAAAACTAATTAAAACACAAAAATCTAGCTTTAACACTCATTATGGTAGAAGAAGTCTTAAATAGAGGACTCACGATGATGTTTACCAAAAAACATTTACACTATATATTGTTAAGAAGGGATACCCTATGATCACCCATTCTTTACTTGATGAAATTACACTATATATTGAATTTGATGAAATTCCTTAAAAAATATGAGAATATATGAGGTCAAAAAATTAACATATGTTGACTTAGTAGAGGAAACACTAGAATCCATAATCCTTATCTAAAGAAGACGAAGAGTACATGAGACTATATAGAAAAGAAGAAGAAAGAAAGATGAGAAGAGAGAGATGAATAATGGGCCCTAGTGGGTTGGGAGTTCGATACTACTATCAAATACTCTCCCTCAAGCTGGAGCATATAACTAGAATATGTCTAGCTTTGGTACACATGACGTTGTACGAGATGTTGGCCAAACTCTTCGTGAACACGTTTGCCAGATGAGCATTGTTGTGATGGATTGCCGTGGAGTAGCTGACCCAATCATAAGAAGAGCGACACCCGACTGAAGAACATGTATTTCCCTAAGAGCCTAGGAAGGTGGCGTCGAAAGGAGAAGGAGAGCGATGGTAGAGACGATGACACTGGAAGAGGGAAGAACAGTGATGGCGAGCGGGACCCATCTCCATCAGCTCAGGAGACACCGGTAGTCCGAGTTCAACCCGATTGACGTGCGAAGACGAAGGAGCCTGACTTTCGCTACACGGCCTAGCCCTTCAGGATGACGACGAGCTCGAACTCACCATTATCTTTCTTTGTATTTTCACGTTGACTTGTTGGGCCTCACGTTTGTGTGTTAGTGGGCCCAATTCTATGTGTGTGTGTTGTTGTTTGTGTCTTCCTTTCTTTAGGGTTTTATTGGGTCTCTCTTTGAGGCCCAATTAAAACCCTAAGGGGGGGGACCTATGCTTCTTTCCTTTTGGGCTTCTTTTGAGGCTTATTTGGGTCTTCATTTGAGGCCCATTTAAGCACCTACGAGGGCCCTCCTCTTTCTCCTTTTAGGGGAGCTTAGTTTGACTGCTACCTCTTCCTTCGGAACTCCACCATAAACTCGCTGGAGTCGCCATCCGCCGCTCCGCCCAGTCGCTGGCCGTTTGCCGATGAATGCCTACCTGCCGCCGACGTCGGGAGAGACCCTACAGCCGTGCCAATGAGTTAGATCCAGTCCAAGCTCCTCACAGGCCCCCGCCGGAGTTTCTCGATGATCCGCCGCTGTCGCACCATTTCCAATGCCGCCTAGACCAGGAGGGCTCAACCCTCTCCCTAGTATCGTCGGCCGGATCGCCTCCTTCCTCTGCTCCACTTCCTGGCATCGCTAGAGAAGGCCGATCCTTCTGGCGACAATTGGGTTTCCGCCCAACCGCTGACGCTCGGCCCTCCTATCGAAGCGCCGCTGACACTCGGCCCTCCTATCGAAGCGCCGCTGACGCTCGGCATTCCCGCCGAAGCACCGCTGACACTCGGCATTCCCGCCGAAGCGCCACCGCCGCGTGCGCCCCGCGCGCCGGCTCTTGCAGCCCGTGCGTCCACCCGGCGCCGCCGCTCGCGTGCTCAAAGGCACGCCGTGCGGCTGCTAGCGTGCCCTTCAGCCCACCAGCGGGCCCACGCCGACCATGCCACGCCTTATGACGACGACTACGGCGACTCTCGACCAGGAATGACCGTCGATGCTGAACATCGCTCTTCACCGGACGTCTCTACTTATGTCGAGTCTCCGCTCCGTCACGACCCGTCGGGCTATGTAGGCCCGAAGGTTAGCTCCGTACCCCTTCTTACTTAAGTTTAATTATCTTTTGAAAGGTTTTCTCGGCTCGTTTCCACCGCCATCAGGAGAACGTAGACAGGATAAGACGGGTTATAGGATCGTGACTTCCGATGCTGCGCTAGACTCGTCATCGTTCGTGAGCTGCAGCCCTAGGCTACTTCACGATGACCATTCCGCCATCTGTTCGGACATTGACTGAGAGGGCCTCACTGATAAGTCTTCATTATCATGAGTTAATAATTAGTAAATAATATAGTTTTACCCTTAACTCATGATAAATAGACTTATATTTGTGTTTAAGTGTGAAAAGTGGTTTTCAGATGATTAATGTGATTTTTTGGGTAATTATGTGATTTTATATGAATTTATATGATTTTTACAGTCTTACTTTTGAGATAAATGAAGAAAAAGAAATAAAACTAAAATATTGCAAAATGGGGGGGGACCCGCCGGCCAGCCGGGCCCGCAAGCGGGTCGGAAGCTCAGTCGGGGAGTAGTCGCGAGCAGAGGCTCGAGCGGCTTGGACCGATAGGGGCACGTGTGCACCACTCCCCTTTCACGTCACCGGTGGCCAATCGGCTGTGGGGCAAGGAGTGGTCGTACACGCGAGAGAAGGAACTTTGCTTAGAAATGTAACATTACTATATATTCGCTCGAAAAATCGGCGCACAACCGATGTGGGACTAAACTCGCGTCACACCTTCCTCAGAAGGGGCGGACAACCGGCGCGGGTTCGAATCCTCCCAGAGTCAAAATTCATATATTTTTATCTAATTATCGCGACTTTCCTACAGATCGCCGGTGAAGGATTAAGCAACGAGAATCGCTGGATCATCGGCGAAAATCTCGTCAACACGATTTGCGGAGCATTGCTACTAAAATTGCTGAACGATTCGTGATAAAAGGATCGCGAATACATCGAGTAAATCATCTCCGATTGATCGACGAACAAGCTGTCGTCGGGAAGAGGACGATCCGCCGGGAGACGAGTCACCACCTCTTGAGAGCGTACCAGATGCGATGAAGAGCTTCCTCTTGCTACGTGGACCTGAGGATAAAGCTCCCTGACACGCGCCCCACCTCCATCCAGCTCCTCTCTGTCGGGTGACAGCCGCCAGAGAGCTGCAAAGTTGCCGTTTTTCTACTCCGCCGGGTGATAGCCGCCAGAGACGACTCGGCGACCCATTTCATTAATTTCTAGACTTTGTGAGAAGATCTAGAGATTGCCCACGTCGTCTTTGTCCAAGGAGAGCCTTCGAGGCCGTGGACACTACACGACGATCCTCCCGAACGCTCAGGATTTCGGTGCATCGCCGACGCATCGCCGTCGCGATGCCGGAACTCTGTTTTCCTGCTTTCAAACTTACTTTACACTTCATTTAGTGATTAATTTTTGTGTTTTTAATTTACCAAAATATACTTTGTTTAATTACGATTCTTCTGGCTTTTACAAATCTTAATTTGATTAATTAAATCGTCTGTAATCGCTTACAAAAGAATCGCTGGCCGGAACTTTGTTTCCGCCCGATTCGCGTTCGCCGGGAACTGACGTCATCATGACGTCTGCACCCTTATTTCCTTTTTTTTCGTGAATTTTAAATATATTTCCTTTTCATTTCCTAGTATAAAAGTCATAGAAAATCGTATTCATTGAGAAAATTTCTGAATAATTACTAGATATTATATTACATCCTTGGGATCGACCTGGAAAATTACCGCTATTTTTGAAAGTTTTATTGAATTATAATTGATATATTTATTTAGAAATACTTCTAAATATTCGAAAATTCGTATTTTCTAGTTTTATACATTTTATATTTGCGTGATTTAATATACAACGACTGAGTCACGTCACTCACACTTACCATCGTCGAGTGTTTCTCCGGGTTGTCCTGAGTTGATCGTGCATATTGGTACGCCTGCCTGTACTTAGGTTACGTGGTCAGACCTAGAGTCTAGGGTCCATACATTCAGATCGAATCGGTCTGACTACCCCATCCCGGGTGTTGAGTTTCATTGATCAGGTATAAGGGTTCTCGCCCCGTCCTACATCAAACGGCAATGCTGAAGAGTCGCTTGAGGAGGGAAGAGGCTAGCGAATAGGAGAGCGGTGCATAGGAGATAGGCAGCACATTAGAGAGGACGACGATGAGGGATACCTAGGGCTCTGATACCATGTTGACACAAGAGATGAAACCCTAGAATCCATAATCATTCTCCAAGGAAGACAAAGAGTACATGAGATTATATAGAAAAGAAAAAGAAATAAAGATGAGAAGAGAGAGATGAATAATAGGCCCTAGTGGGCCGAGAGTTCGATACCACTATCGAACAACATAAATAAATCATCATTCTACATATTCAATAAGATGCACATCACAAGAGTAATAGCCATCTAAAATCACACAAATTTTAGGAAGAGGTATTTACCTTTCATGTATTTGGAAGGCCCCATTTATAAGGGAATTAGAAATTAAAAATACTTTGAGCACATAGTGCATATGAATAGGAAGAGAATGGAAGGATGGCAAGCTAAATGAATTTCCCTAAGAGGTAGGATTATACTAATTAAAAATGTATTGTGCAACATTCCTATTTACACACTCACAATCTATGATATATTGATAGGAGTCTTGACAAGTTTGAAACAATTGATAGTCTAATTTATGGGGAGAAGATGTTGGTGTGAATAAATATCATTGGGTGTCATGGAAATCAATATGCTACCCAAAAATAAAAGGTGGGCTAAAAATTAGGAGCATGAAAGAATAATTATATATAATGAGAATAGACATGGCATGGAGATTTAGGGTTGAGCACTCACAATGGGTTGACTCAATGAGAGGAAAATATAAGGAGTGGGCATTAGAAAAAGAGATGATCAAAGGGCCAACGTTGTGGAGGAGAATGCAAGAGAAATGCATAGAGATTAGAAAGTGCATTAAATGGGAGGTAGGAAATGGAAAAGTTAATGTGTGGAAGGATTGCTGGTCATCACTAGGAACATGGAAAATGAATACATAATAACAAAGGACAGCCCATGACTTATGGTTGCTAATGACAAAAGATTGGAAGAGGGTATTAAAACAAGTAAGACTAATAGGGACAGATCTAGCGGCATGTGATGTGGGACTAACTGATCTACTAGAAAGGGATCAGAGAATATAGACCCCAACCATGCATGAATTTTTTTCAACCAAATCAGTGTGGGTGAGAATTAAGGATAGAAAGGAGTTTAGAAAATGGGGTGTAATAATTTGGAATGTTGATCGTAGACCAAATATCTTTATTTCTTTGGAAATTAATGCATGGGTGATTATCAGCGAACTCAAAGAGAAAAGGCTTCTCACTAACATCAAGATGTAACTACTACAAGCTGTCACCTAGGGAGGAGAGGATTGCACACTTATTTTATGAAGGGGAATGGGTAATGGACTGTTGAACATGGTTCTTGTCCAAGTGGAAGCTGGCCATTTAAAGAGGAAAACCCTTGGAGTAGTGGGCCTCCAAGACAAGAATAAAGAATACAAAATTAGAACTCTAATAAAATATAAAGAAATTATAATGTTTATGGGAAATATAGCTAGCAAGAAATACATTGAGGATGAAGGTTGGGATATATAACTTGTCCTTCATAAAATGTAAGAGGAAAGAAAAGGGATAAAATCTATGAGGAAAATGCTACCCAACTTCCTAGAGTCATAACAAGTCAAAACTTATACCCAAATGATAAAACTCCATGTCTTAGAACAAAACATGATAGAGAATGATTGATTGATTGGGATTGACCACTACTTTCACACAAGCCCAACACTTACCTTGACAATCAATTCAAAGCTAGATGCCAAGAGTGAAGGATGCTCACATCAATAATTCTTAACTTATCTCTACAAATTACCATGAGGAACCATGTTAATTGAGCATAGATTCATTCAAATCTTCTTAAATGGTAATGATTTACCACATAGCATAATTTTTCATCTTTGGTTTGTAATTCTTAAAGAGTGGACAAGTAGGAACAAGCTAAGAACTCAAGAGGAAAGGGAGAGTAATGAAGACAATAAGACAACTTAATTGACAATGAGAGAGGGCATTGCCAATACATAATACACTGATCAATGGGGCTAACAACAACCAATTCTAAGCATACAAATGAAGGAAATACAGCCATAGGGCCAAATAGTCAACCCCCCCTTCTATGCATCTTGTTGAAGGAGTTAAACCAACAGTACTATGTAAATGTCATTCATCAATGGATTTTGGTTTTATAAAAAAATAAAATAAAATTAGACTGAATTATAATTATATGAAGTATAAAGTTCACATCCCATCTTCAAAACAACACTGCATATGGTTTACCCAACCCACATCTTATCCATAAGAATATACAATATTAATGCACTCATGCACATGAATTGGTTAAATATTGTGTGATAAAGTCCATATTAGGGATACAAGATTTGTAATTTGGTCAAAAACTTTTATTAGAAAGACTTGGTGAATGCTCTTCACTAAGCCTACTAAAAGTCTTTAGACATCTCTCTTCCATCTTCCTCAAATTATGGTCATTATATGTTTCTCTTTGTTGTGAAATTTTTAAAATTAAATGATGAAATTTTAATTTTCCCTAATAGAGTTGTTTTCATATTAGAAATTATTAGATGTGATTTTCTTGAAAATTATAATGATAGTGGTGACAAAAGAGGAATTGGGATGATGAGTTGGATAGTTAGTTAATATAAGAGTGTGAAGGTATGAATTTTCATTGTGCCCTTCAAGTTATGAGTTTATTAATTATACAAAAGTGGATGATTATTGCATGATGGATCATGAATCTTATGGAGTGTTTGTTGGTCCTAAAGTAGTTAAAGTGGAACTAGGTGGGAGATGCTTTGATATTACTCCAAGAGGCAAGTCATGTGACACTCAATCTGAGTTTAAAGTGAGGAGTTGAAGATGAGTAAAAGATTTACTTCTAATGGTAGCCCACTTAACAGTAGTAATTCTTTCAAGAAGGAAATAAATTAGTCTCACTAATGAGAATTAAGGTGCTTCCATAATTGAGGCATGTAAGTTTCATTGGGCCTTCATTGTGAGTTGTGAATCTAGAATTTTGATGACAAATGCAACACAATGATTTTTCTTGTCTTTTTCATTCAATGCTTAATTTAACAAATGAAAAAGACCTGAATAATGCTTGAACAAATGAGTAAATACCTTTTCTTTTCTTTCCTTGTCATAGTTTGTGCTTCTTCATACATGGTAAGTTGGTTCATTTTTTCTTTAAACATGCTTACACAAAAATCATAGTCATTTCATTTTTTGAAAAAAAATCAAGGTTAATTGACTATTATATTTACCATAATTGCATCCATTTTATGTAATGAAGTTTTGGTCTTAAGTAATATCATAATGATATGAAATGAGTGTTTTATGTATTTGTATTTTGTTAGCATCAAAGTGGGGTTGAGTATGAAGTCAACAAAATGAATCGGTATTAAAGACTGAACCATTTGAAAAAAAGTGTAATTTGTTGTGCATACTATATAAACTATTCCTCTAAAACAATCCTAAATTAAAATTCCATGAAAAACCACTTCTAGAAATAAAGATAATAATAAAAAGTTTTCAAACTAATAATAGAAAAATATATTTTGATTAATTTTGTAGACATCAGCATATGACAACAAAAAATCAATAGGCAAAAAAGACTAGAATTCTTATTTAAATCATGGGCACATGCTTGAAAATTCCTAAAAAAATGTCATTGAAACCACAATTCTTTCGCCAAGCAAGAAAGCTACTTCACATTTCAAGGGTTTTCTTCTTCTTTAACTATATATCTTTTATTGCGACCTTTCAAGTACATCAATCTTAGGGTATTTTATGAAAAAACCCTACGTTCTGTATTTGAGGGATTTGGAACGTGTTCTAAAGTGAGGTTAATCTCTCAGTCTATTATTAGTTAGAGCAAAGGTAGCACTCTGAAGTTAAGGCAGTGTACTGCGTGGAACTTGTGTACCGAGGAGAGTTCATTGTACGCATGAAGAGTGGGTCTACCTTCGGCGAAATGAGCTGTACAAAGTATAATGGAATCAGATTTCTAATAACTTCATGACACGGGTCGGCCGATCCGGGTCGGCTCGACCGATTCCGTGTACCGTGAACGGTTGACGCTAACGCCGTTCACGTTTATCGGAACGGCCGTTCGCCCTAACGTTCGAAGCCGTGGGTGCGTGGGGGGCGTCCGCGAACGCCGTCTGAGAACACGAACACTGATAGAGTCTAAGGAGATGCCTTCAAAACCTATGATTGAAGGACCGTCCGCAGGCAATGATCCAGAACCATGAAGGGAAGCAAGTTTCTCCCATCTGGCCCGGATTACTGTCGTCGGTAGATTGAGGCTGCAGCAGGTGCGGTTCCTCGGCCGTCCATTCCTCTCTTCCCCCGGCCTGTGTTTCTGCCGACGGGTATGCTTTCTTGCTACGGTTCGGAACTCTATTAATGATACATAACGTCGTCTAACTACGTTTTTTACGCGCGATTTTGCTACTGATGGCTCTGTAAGTGGTAGAATGAGAACTTCCTGTACAGAACGATCCGAGAATCCCTTGTTTTCTCATAATGTCGTCGTTGTTCTCTTTTCGTTATTATTCTCTCTTCAAGAAGAGGGGGGATTGGAATCTATCTCTGAATTTTCATTAGAAGATGTAGATATGAGATAATTTGATTCGGCTATCCTTGTATTTTCCAAGGACTGTAAGGAAGAAAGTGTGACCCGACTGCATCCCTCCTTACAATGTCTTTCTTTTGCTTGCTTTGACATTAATCTCGGTGATACTTGCAGGCATGTCTTCTTTGTCCGATTCTGGCGAACCTGCTTTATTGCAATTGAGAAAATGGGGTCAAGTCCGTCCCAAACTTTCAGATTTTCATCAATTTCTGATATCCCCAACACGGGAACTGCTGCTTTTCCTCTCGCATCAGTCTGACGCATTATTGATTTCCTTGTTAAAAGGTGTTTTTTTCTAATGTTTCCCATTCTTTTTCTGTAGCCTGTATTTTTTCATGGTTATTAATATATAAAAGTTGTTCAGACAGGTTCTGCGAGGTTGTTCAGAAGCCAATAACTTCAAAATTTAGTTCTGCAGGGAAGGCAGATCCTTGTTTTTTAGACTCAGCTGAGAAGTGTGCACAGCCAGCTATATATCTGGGGACTGAAACAAGTAATACATTTCTACATGGGGGAAGATCCTTGCTAGACCAGCCAGCTGTTCTTTGTAATGTGCGATCAGTAGCTTGGAGCCATTGTGGCGATGCATATAATCGAAATGGGGAATCTGCCTTTAGAGATATTCTTGTTGTGTCTTCTGGCAATGGCATTTATATTCACGCTTTCAGTGAGATTGGCACTAGGTGTCACAAAATTCACTCATTGCCTAAAACCGATTTTGTGCATGGTAAGTGGGTTGTTTGGGGGCCCACCTTTGAAGATTCTTATGAATGCCATGGGGTTTCTGTTGCCAAGACAAGTCAAGATGGTTATGATGGGATTAAAATTTCGGATTCAGAAGGCAGTTCTGTACCTGTCGAATTTTCTGGACTTGCAGGTAGCTCTGCATCTAAAAACTGGTTTAGATCTTTCCTAATCGACATGGATTTCTTCCGTGCTACAGGTGACTTTGTATTCAGGTTTCCCGAAAAATCTTCACTTCCGCCTTCCGCAGAGGTAGTGTCTTTTAACATTTTTGAGAGTATATTGCAGCTCTTAGAGCCCTGCACTCGTAATGCAGAGCGTGCATGTGAAAATGTGTTGGAATCATCAGAGTGGAATCCGGCGTTTGAAGATTCAAACTCAAATAGTATACACACTATTTCTGATACTGAAGATCACACACTTAAACCTGAAACGAGGAAAGATAATGTTGCTGGCTCTGCTCATGGTCTGTATAAGTGCTCCAGGGTTTTCTCCAGTACATCTGATCATTATGTTGGCCTACTTTTAACAGATGATGCACCACATCACGTGAGTGAAGAACATATCACACATCTGAAGACTATTGTTGTCATTCTCACCGTTTCTCTTTGGGGTATGCAGTGGACTTGTTCAGTGGATCTTCAGGAGTCATGCTCAGAACTCAGCCCGTTACTAGAATGGGTTGACTTCCAATTTATTAAAGGGCTTCTCGTCTGTCTGAATGTTTCGGGTCTTGTTTACATTTGGGATGCTAAAAGTGGTGATGCTGTTTTACATATTGATGTCCTACAGAATAGTTTTGTCCCTGTAAAGCCGAATTCTCAATTGGTTGAAAGAGCATCCTCTGTAAAAGGTATTTCTTCTCCAATGAAAGAAGGCAATATGGGGGAATATCCACAGGCAAATGAGTTTTGTGTAAAAAGAGTATTTGCAGGTTGTCATGTACAACCTAAAAGAGTTTTCAGAAAGTTACTTTTTACTTCACAGTCTCTATCTCTAGCTGCTGTTGATGAGTATGGAGTGATCTATTCAATTGGTCCTGAAGAACTTTTATTAGCAAACATGTATAAAGAGAACAATGATTTTCGTGGAGTCATTTCTCCTTTTCAGCATTTGGGTTTTGGTATGCTAGCTGGTTGGAAGGCTGCCTCTTCTGGGATTGGTCATCAGAAGGTATTTTCTGATTTTATCCTTGATCAAAGTTTAAACTCTTTCACTAATTTAGATGGGAAAATTTCAAGGCTGATCAACACCACAGAAGTTGAACCGAGGAAAAAGAGAAGACTCAATATTCAGTCTAAGGAGGAGCATATGGATTCTTATCCAAGTGGTTTTTCTGTTCATTCACGGGTTAATGGCTCTCAAATTTGTCATTATACAGCAGCTGGCTCTACTCGTAGAGTATTTCTTCCCATTGACAAATATAGCACGGAGGATGCAATTTCTTTTTCTCCTTTTGGCATTACACGGCTTGTTAGAATCAACAAAAAAGAAACGAAAATAGTGCATATTGGCCTACAGGCAGCAACATCTGCTTATGATGATAGCTTTCTTTCTGAATGGGTTTCCTCCTTCAGTAAAGAACGGTCTCTTGGCTTTGAAGCAATTGGATGTTGTTTTGAAGGATTTCTTTATATTGTAACAGATGAAGGTCTTTTTGTCATTCTCCCTTCGCTTTCAATTTCGTCAGGTGCCATTGTAACTACATCAATTGAATATTGCCAGACTAACACCATCCAAGCTTGTCAGAAAGAAACCTTATATGCAAGAGACGGGTTTAGACCTTGGCAAATAGAGGTTTTAGATAGAACTCTTTTGTATGAAGGACCAGATGAAGCAGATTATGTTTGCTGGGAAAATGGTGAGCACAAACTTATGGTTTTTGAATTTGAGTTTGTTGTCCTACACTAATAACCATGCTTTGTTCGAAATCTTAAGTGCTTATGTTGTGTGAGGTGTCAATTTCTTTCTTATTGACTAAGTCTGCATGGCTTCAATATATTTACCGCATAATATTATTGTTTAGTTGGTTATTGGATGATATAAGAGAGATATCATGCCCTTTGTTCTGGTCTCCAAATGTGCATCTACCACAACCGTGATTTCTGTCATATTGTGTCTCCTGATAATTATATTTTTGATTAAAATCTGTCACTATAGACCATTCAGAGATGACAGTTGGTTGGTTAACCCGAGGTTTTCTCGTTTTCTTCATAAAAGTGTACAGTGCTACTTAAATATAGAAAATAAACGAGATATGTGAGTACGCATGTGCAATCAAAAGCCCTCGATAGAAGGGTTGATTGTACCCGTGTGCAATGATAAACCCTTCTAAGATTGGAGAATCACACTGTTCCTTAATTTCATAACACAATTGTATGTGAATCACACATCTTCCTTCCAATAGGACATAGGCTTTTCTTTTAATACATTGGATGTTCCTTCCCAAAAACTTTGTTCTTATTGTCACCTGGCAGAAGGGATAATAGATTGGAGAGAGGGAATTTCAATCTTTCGAAAGTGGTATGACATTGCTTGGATTAAGAATTTGGTATGCTGAGAAAACGTCTTACACCTAGAATGGGAAGAGAAACTATTTCATTTGTCTAACTTTCTAGGCTTTCCAATTTTCATTTTCAATGGCTTTCCATTTATATAGTTATTAGCCCAAATATCTTCTGCAATGAAGCTGTGCTCGAAAGCCATCAAAAATTGGCTTAATTGGCTTTTCTTTTATTAACTTTTAGAAACTCTAGAGAAATCCAGCTTCATTTTGTTGTACCAGAAACGGAGTCTGCTGCCTTAGTTTCAGTCATTTTTGGACTTATGGAGTTTTGATTTTCATGGGGATCTCAGGACTGCATCAGGTGAAAGAATTCAGATTGTTGCATAGTGCAAGTTAGTGTGATCTGAGTCACTAAGGAGTTACATGTTAAGACAAATGTAGTCATGATAACACAAAGTCTAGAGCTCTAATAGGCGCCCAGCACTCATGGAAGAAGAAATCAAACTTTATTGATCAAAAACAGTTTACCAAGAGAGTGAGATCCAGTATTTATACCAGATCCCTTGGAGGTCCTAGACATACTGATGTAACAAGAAATGAAAGGTACATGAGGACATATATGTAAACATGTAAGGTATACAAGTTATTAAGTACATCTCGACAACATTTCCCCTCAAGCTGGTGAGGGGATGTCATCCATTCCTAACTTGAGAATAATCTTCTGCAGTTGTGTACCTGAGATGCCTTTAGTAAGTATGTCTGCCAACTGATTATTTATTAAAATGTATGATATACAAATCACATTGGCCTCAAGTTTCTTTTTGATGAAATGGCGATTGATCTCCACAATTTTGGTATGGTCATGCTGTACTGGGTTGTGCATTAGATTGATTGCTGACTTATTGTCCCAATAAATCTTCATAGGACTGAATAAAGGAATTTGTAACTCATCAAGTAAGTTTTTGACCTAAAGTAACTCACATATTCCTTGGGCAAGTGCCCTAAGTTCAGCCTCAGCACTTAATCGAGCAAATACATTTTGTTTTTTACTCCTCCAAATAACAAGGTTGCTACCAAAAAAAGTAAGATGATCAGAGGTTGACCTTCGATCAATCATTGAGCTTGCATAGTTAGCATCTGTAAACATCTCGACCTCGACCTGCATGTTTACTATGTTGTTATGAGTGAAATCCTCCTATGAATTGTGGGAGAGGATGATGCAGCTTTGAGTGAAAGACGAGAAACATCCACAAAGGAACCCAAAGTCACAATCATGCTGACTCTGAGTTTAGTATCTTGAAATAACTACCAATACGAGTGATGAGTTGCCTTTTTAATAAAAGAAGGATAGGCAACCTGACCCAAAGGTAAAATGTCACTGATGCTTAACAGATTTCATGACGTATAGTTCAGCAAACGTAAAAGTCAGACCAGATGGTAATCAGGCTCCTCACTTCAGCATGTTTATCCTCAACATCCCGGATTAAATGTAATCACCAAATCATAAAGAAGGAGAAGAGATTTTTCTATTTACAATCTAAGGCAACTATGGACATGTGCTGATGCTCTTGCTTTTAAGCTCAGCAATCTGGGAGTTACTGTGTAGCTATTATAACAATAGTCTATTTGATGACAAGAATCATTAAATCGGCAGCCAAACGTGCCTCTATGCTAGGTAAGCCCATGAATGCCTATGCATTTACTATTTTAATCCCTGGACAGTTGTCGTACCATCTCCTTACATCAGAAATATGCTTTTCTCTGTTGTGTTTGACTTTTCTTGCGGGAATGAAGGAAATCTGTGCTGATTTTAAATTTCTTCCTGCTATATGCTGGAAAGGTGGTTCTCCTCAGTTGAATTAAGTGGCTTCGGCTTGAAGAGTATAATCTTTGAGAAATAATTTCACCTTCATATTTTTGGTTAACTTAGCTGAAAGCTAACAACGTACTGAAATGCTCTCTAATCTCAGTCCAAAAATGAGTGCGAATAAATCATTATTATTATGTAATATGGCCTTTTCTCTTAACTTTTTACCTTTTTTGGTGGGAGAGAGATTTAAGTTTCAGGAGCTTTACATGTTTACATTCTTTGCCCATAAATTTTCTCTTTACTCCAGTTTGGTGTTTCCTGGGTTCTGTCGCCTTAAATCACAGAAAAGAATAACCTCCATGGCACTCATTTCTAGATACCTTTTGGAAAAAATATTTTTAACCTGTCCAGGAATTGTAGCCCAGATGATTATTGACATAATGGAGGTTATGCAAAGCATCAGATTGACAACACGCTATAAAGTGTTTAACCACCTTTAGACCAGCTTTCCTACCACCAATGGACTAGTGCCATGATTCTCCTATCCCTGGAGAGCCTAAACATCTAATTGATGAGATGCTGTAAAGAGTGTGATCAGATTCAGACCTTCTTTCCTCAGTAACTATGGACTAGTGCCACGATTCTCACATTCCTAGAGAGCATAAATATCCAATTGAGATTCTGCTGTAGATTAATCTGGATCTCACCAGATCTTGTCAAAACCTCAACTATTCCATTTGCCATCATCAAAGAAGTATGCATCATTCTATTGGACCACCAACTCAGGTTTTCTGGGGAAACTGTAAATCATAGGATCTATTTGTTATTTTATCCTCTCAAGGGAGTAGTCTGGCCTTTTGGCCTATAAGGATAGTTTAGCCTTTTACCCAAGGGGAGTATAGTTGTAATCACTCGATTTCATAACTATAAACTTTGCGAGGGGTTGCACAGATATGAAAAAGTCTGATACAGCAACCTTCATTTTTCCTATCCTCTTGTTTCTTTAGGAAGAGTTTGATCCTGTTTTGGCTATAGAAATATTAAAGATAGAGTAGGGAAGACGAATATAAAATTGGAAAATAATCTAAAATTTCATTCTTTTGGTTCCTCTTATTCTCTTCTGAACATTCTGGATTTTTAATCTTCAACAACTTCAATTTTAGGTAGGCCAGCACTGGAACTAATTTTACACAGAACATTTCTCATAACTATCGGCCAAAATGTAAGACCTATTTAGTCTTGTCTTAAGGTGAGACAGGCCGTGGAAGGGTTGCCAACCAGTGAGGTCTCATGGAAAACAACATGTTGGCAGCCCAAATGAACCCAAACATAGTGCATCCTCTTTTTCTTCTCCTTTGGTACCTGAACTTACAGGAAAGTATGACAGAGGTAGCTCATTTAGAAAGCTTTCATCATTCAGAGGAATATAATGGATGGAGTATTAAAAAGGGAATAGGGAAGCAGGAGCTTTTGTGTTAATTACCTTCCTCATGTGTGCCTCCATTGCAGCAGGAATGGGGTCTCCCAGTTTATTTTGTGGTTGCCGAACTCCACACCTGATGCTGTAATAAGATGGAGGAGGATCTGTGATAATGATTGCTAAAAAAAAAGGAAGTGGAGGGAGATAGTTCATTTCAGGCCAAACTACAAGTATGGTGGTGACAAAACTAGGTGCGATGGCAGGGGTAATACCCTAGAGGAGAGAATTTTTGAGGTGTGCCCTCACTCCTGTCAATGAAGTGGTAAATGTGAAGATGAATATGTCCCCATTTTTGCCATGCGTCTGGAGGCTTTTTTCTCTTTTTAAAATCACCTCGCTACCTGTAAGTGAGAAATAAAAGAAGTGACTTTTTGGGAGCCCACAATTTCCCAACTGAGCTGACACTCAGAACCCTATTCATGCACAATCCTTATTCCTTTCAAAGCGGGAAAGACGATCAAAGACTAGTGTGTTAGTGAGTCATTTAGAATAGAGGCCTATTGGACCCATATTTTGATGTCTTAACCCTAGATATAATTGGTGAGCTAGAGGGCTACGAATTTAACCAATTTTACACTTGTAATTTGACATAATATGAAAGCCTTTGGTTTCTCAAGATGTTCCCCTTGCCACCACCGCCTCTGCCCTCAAGCCTCTCCATCTGTGCGGGTGAGAAAGATAGGGCTGTAATTCGCCCACACGTAGCTCTATTGCTATGACCTTCGCTGCTACTCCTTTGTCCACTACTGGCAATTCTGTCTTATTGTTTTTCTCATAATCTTCTGTCCCTCTCTCTCTCTCTCTCTCTCTCCTTGCCCCTGTCTAGTCTCTCTCATGTTGTGAGAAGCTGACTGTCTATTCATTCTTCTAAAGCTTTCATCCATTACTCTGGCTTCAAGTCTGGCCTATGCTTCTTTGGCTTAAGCCTTTGTATTTCCTTCTCTGGTTTCATAGTCAGCATAATATTTGCAATGTCTGCGATGCTGGTGTCTGCTAATTTAGCTTCTATGTAGGCCTCTACTACTTTGGCTTTGCCTCCTTGTCTCTTACTCTACTTTGAAGCTGACAAATAGTACTTTACTTTTACTTTAACTCCCTCTGCATCTGGACTTTCATCAATATCCAACTCTTATAAAAGCTCTCAAGGTAATAAATTTATAAGGCATAAACATTTTACTATATAGAGTGATTCAAACAATCAGTTAAGCTTTAAAATAATATGGTCCACTTTTTAACCAAAGATTGCTTCTGGAATTTTATTATAGGCATCATTCACATGCAATGAATTGAGATTATTCTTTATTAAAAATATATAATTAGTACTTATTGTAGTAGTCATCATGGAATATCCATATTTTATCAACAGGCCTATAATACCTCTTAATGGATTATTAAATAAAGGTTTTAATGAACTTGATTAAAAAAATTCTTACAACGATCTCAACATTTTAAATCAATTATTTACCCCATGTAAATGACTTATAATTTTTTTCCATTCGCATTAGACCTTGTGACTGCTGAGTATAGTTAATCCTCGTTTTTAATCTTTTCCTTGTTATTTCCTCAGTGAACATTTCAAATTTACTACTTATTTAAGAGCTTTAATTACCCTTGTAGGATGGGACTTGAAAATTGCTCGAATGCGTCGGATGGAGTTAGGATTGTACTATCTGAGATTTGATGAAATAGAACGGTGAGGCTTTATTATTTTCTTTTTCTTTTGTTTAGCTAAGTGCAAGCTGAGATATTATAATGATGTAAAAGGGTCCATTGTATCAAATCCTTTACCAGGCAGAAAAAGATTGCACACAATGGTTATGAAGATTATGGAATAATACATTATTCTAACTTACCTCGGATAATTACTGAGTCAACTATGCCAGGCTTCTTGGATTCTTGGAGGAATCGCTTATTCAACATCCCAGCTCCTGTGTGGTCAATGGCTTTTTGGTTTTATAAGAGGGAAATCTTTAGTAACACTGGATATTAAAATAGTCAATATAAACAGGATGCCTTCTTGGATGTTGACCTGTGAGACAGATCAGGCTATTTGTTAAATAATCAAGAAATAGAACATTGAGGGATTTCTACTCTAATAATCGTTTCATTTAGAACCCGAGAATCATAAAGTCTACCGTATTTATATTTATGTATGGTAGTGTATACTTCAGAATTCAATTTTACGAAACTTTTTTCCCAGACTTTGAGCCTCTTAGCATTATGTTCCCATATTTTCCCTAAGAATATTGATAAAATTCAATGATTTTTTATAACGTTAGCCAAAACTTTGTTCTATCCGCTTCTTGGATTAGTTATTTTCATCAAATTCTATAGATTGATACCTGATGCAAATTTCTAGTACGCGAAAGCCCAGAAGAAATTTGACATGTTTTTCTCTGCAAACTGGAATATTGTGAAAACTTCTGTAATGAGAAACACACGTGGATTGCTGATCCACCATTTCCATTGTTTCTGTATAACTGATATCTGATTGGATGATAAGTGATTCTTATAGTTTTATGGATTTTTCTGCCTTGTATTCTTGGCTGTTTTTTTTGCATTAATTGATTTTATTTGTCGAAAACTATACAATGATGCAAACCCTAGGAGGATATACAATGGAAAAAAATCCCTGAATATTATTCCTATCATAGATTACTGCTGGTTACACACAAGTACAAAGGTCACGAAATAAGGAAACCATCTAACAAAATAGGAACGTGACATAATAGGAAACTAATCAACTAAGAGCTGAACTCCTAAATATACATTGGAGGGGGAAAGTAAGGGAAGTTATTTTGGGGTGAAAAAACCATTGCTGGGAGTTTCATAAACACAGTTTCAAGCACTGTGATCCTACTATTATTTAAACGTTATGGATTTGGGTTGCCTTATGACCAGAATTCTAAAATCACGTGATTTACTTGGGATTGGACTATTTTTATTAGGATTTCTCGTTTTTTATCCATGTTTGTAATCTAATTGGCTGAGGAATTAGCTCTTACTAGTCATTTTTTTTCTGGTTTAAATTAATCAAAACAAGGTTTCAATTCTAACATATTAGCTTTATCAGCCTGATCCTATCTTATTTGACCTGATTTTAATAGTCCTGAGAAACAAATTTTGAATCCAAAGCTGTCTCAGTCAGTTCTGTTTGCCTGGGAGTAAACTTGACAGCTTCAATTGTGGTTCTTTGTCGTCATGATGTTCATGGTATTCTCGTGTACTCCTTACTTGAAGAATGCACTACTGTTTAGGCTTCTTTGCGATGGAAGTTTAACATTGAAGATTATCTAACTTGAGTTTTCGAGTATGTGCTAATAGTGAAGAATCACATCCATTCTCATGGTATTTCTCCCTGTGGAAAATTTTGTTTCGTAGGGTAGTTGCCAATTCATTGACATTTAAAGTGAAATGATAGACATAATGATTTATAATCATCAAACAGTGGTTACTTGAGTATGGATACTCTTATGGACCTTATCATAAGGAGTTGTCTTCTCGCAGTCTCCTAAGGATTTAGCACATCTGTTATAAGACTAAGTATTTATATTAATCTTCTTTTATGCCTTTCTTTCCATATAGGACTGCAACGTTACAGGAAGAATTAGAGGTAGAGATTGCTACTGTCCTTGCCTTACTGATTTATTTATTTTCGTGTATATTTTCTTCCCAGACGTTTAGTTTAAGGTTTGCTACTCTGATCAGGAGGCAACAACTTGAAAAATGAATTTAGTCAAGTGGGACTGAGAAGTATGAGATTTTTTCTTCTTTTTAACACGCTCAACAAGATCTTCATGGGAGTTGGAAGATCCTGGAGACTAAACTTACCTGGACATAACCCAAAGTTCGATGTAAAAAGGAGTTGGAGAGGGATACATTGCTCTTTATTGCTAGGAAAAGGTTTCTGTCGAGCCGAACGAAAATGAAAATGAATGTAAAAGATTGTTGATTTTGCCCTGTTTGTTTAGTACATCATATTATTCTAAGGCATGAGAAGGAATTACAAAATAAGGTGCTTGTGGGATGAACTTCATTTACCATTGAGGTGCTTGTGGGATGAACTTCACTATATTATAAACATTGCCTCCCTAAAGATGAAGTTTGAGTCTTTTTCGAGTTAAATTTTGTTTCCTTTTAGTTTCATTAATTGACTGTTATGTTTCTTTTTCTATAGTTTATAGGCCCCTGCCTATTATAAACCGGAATGCATCCTCTTAGGATTCTGTCCTTTAAAATATATAGCTCCTCTCAGTTGTATTTGCGAAGAAAATTATAGTGGCTTCAGCATCGAATTTTTTCTGATAAAAGTAGCTCATCCTGCAGGATCAACTCCACATGTTGATATGCGGAAAAAGGGTAGTGTTTGTGTTTTGGTGTGTGACCAAATAAATTTCTTGTTCATATATTACACAGAGAGCCTTGTGTCCCTTATCCGCCTAGTATGTGATCTTGGAACTACATTGTGCATTCAATAATATTTGTTTTCAGATCTTGGAACCCATTTTTTCCCTTTTTTATTTATAGTTATAATGTTATTATACATATAACAGCTTAGTATCATATGTATTATTCTTGGTAATGCATTCTGTCTGATGTCTGAGACAGATCTTTGGAGAAGCTAGCAGATGTAATTTTGGCAGAAGAGGGCATGCTGAGATTACTCTTGACTTCTGCCTATAAGATCTTCTCTAAAGTTGGCAGTGAGAGTGAGGTAGCCATAGCGTCAAGGTATGTTCTTTGCTTAGCTCTTCTTTCCTCTGAAAATTTCTTATTTTCATGTAAGAGATTAAAGTTTTCAAATAAAAAAAAACAATTTTAAGCATTAGGCTGTCAACATTTTATTTTAAATACGACATAACTACACTAGTGTACTGGTTAGCAATAAAGCAGATGCTCCTTCTCTGTTGAAGTTGCTCTTTGTTCAAGTTTTAGTAATTTCTATGATTTTTTTTGGTTACCGTCTTGTCTTCTTTCATGTCAATATCTCATAACTGCATACTAAGAATGGTATCCATTTTTGGCAATCTCTAGGTCATGACCAAATAGTGTTGCACCCTCACTATTTGGAGCTTAAAATGCAAGACAAACAACCTCATAGTAAGAACTGTTATTTGAGAAGGGATGGATCATTTATCATTTTGTGTTCAAGGAAAGGGCGAAATATATGGTTTTAGAAGGTAAAAACTGCAATTGTTGGTAATTTTGAGGATGTCCAACGCAATAAAAACATTTTCCAATGCATTGAGAATGCTTGTGGGTACAAATAAATGTTATGTTGATGGATTTAAGAATTTGATTGTTGAAGATGCGAATGGGCTTATGCCATTTAAGTACTGGACAAGTAGGGCTTGGTAATAAATTTCACCGGCTTGGACAAGAACCACAGAACAGGTGTAAACCATGTTACATAGAAGTCTAATGGAGATTACCCTAATTTGGAAATATCTGTTCAAAGTTTGTTGTGCATGTGTCTTAGGTCTCATTTTGAAGTGTGTATCCCAGAAGGATTCGAAATATTCAAATATTTTTTCCTGGGGTTAACCATTTCCAAATGAGGGTGCCTCAACTGCTCTGAATAATTGCTTCATCCCTTTAGCTAAAAGGCTGAAATATTTATAACTAAAGCATCACAGATCTCCAAAAGTAACCATCTCAATTTCCTGAAGACAGGATATCAACCCTCTTTTCCAAAACACATGGTAACGAAATTGTGTTCACATAAAGAGAAATGGGCTTTTCACTGCAACAAAAGTGTAACAACATTGTTCATGTCATGGGGATGTTAAAGTTGTTGGCCCTATGATGCTGGGAACTGATCCTTCCATTTTCTTCAAGGCTTGGGCCCAGATAAAAAGTTAGCCTTGCATGGGACATGAACAGGAAATTTCCTGATATACATGATCCAGCATGTCTCCCAAGACATCTACATAGTCAAAAATGGTAAAAAGCAGAAAGGATTTGCTGTCATCAACCCCACCCATTAGCTGCATCAGGCATGCCATGCTTAGCTGTTCGAAGATTGTGAGATAATTTGCTTTCTGAATGGAGTACCATTGTCTACTAGCCTGTGTTTCTCTGTTGAATAGTGTTAGTTTTAAGTATGCCTTCGGCAATGACTATAGTGTCACTGGCTTCTTGTTATTTCTGTTTTATCGAATTGTTGTGGAATTATTTTTCATGGTGCTATGTATTATTTTTTATAGCACTGCATATTCAATAAATATAAAGAAACAACGAGATTTAGAAGTAATAGGTAACACCAAGATTTTCGGACTATGGTAGCTACGGCTTCAAAATGGTAGAACAAAAACCTGCCTCACTACACACTGTTGTTGACACTTCTTTTGCTCCTATTACAAAGAATATAAAACGTTGGGAACCAGAGCTAAATAGACTAGATCCTTCCATGAAATAGAGTAGTTTTTGCTAAAGAACTATTCCATTGTTAATTTATGTATTTTCTTCCATTGGTCTAGAAGATCAGGCTCCCATTTCTTGGTCAAACAACCTTGTTAAGTTCTTTCCTCAGCGGTCGATGACAACTGGTGACCAGAAAACTTTGATTTGGGATATGGTCGTCCACTGATTGATAGGATCTGGTGTCATGACAAGTATGCTTTCAGCATGCCACATTTCCAATTTCATTTGATTTGTATTCATGCATTGTAGGCTGTTGACTCTTGCTGCCAGCTTTGCTACCAAGATGATTCAGAGATATGGTTTAATAGAATTTGAGGAGGATTACTCTACATCTGGCTATGATAATGGGCCGAACACTTTTAATATGCAGCAGATTCCAATTGAAACAAATATTTCAAGAAGGCTTGAAGAAATGTCACACTATCTGGAAGTCATCAGAAATCTCCAGCAAAGATTAAGCCTGAAATCCAGAAAATCAATGGTATGAATAGTTGCTAATGTGTTTCGATAGAACAACAACCTTTGTGAACTGACAGCATCTTTCTTATTTCATTAGGTAGATGGTGGAGATGGATTAAATCTTGTGGAGATGAGTATATGTAACGATGGAACTTTTGTTCCAGATACTGTTTCATTGGTTGTTGTAGGCCCATCTGAGGCTGAAAATCAGGAAGAGAAGACTATTTCTTCATGGGACAGCACCACTGGTGGCATTAACCAACTTTCTTTATCAATAATCGAAAAATCAGTTGATGGGGGAATTGGTGAGTTTGATTTACCAATCGCCAAAAACGCAGTTCAGGGAAGGAGATTAATTCCTTGGGAAAATTCCAGGGATATGATCACACGTTGGGAACTAGGTAATCTTGACTTAAAAACTGTTGTGGAAGATGCTTTAAACTCTGGTCGCATTCCTCTAGCAGTTCTGCAGTTGCACCTTCAGCATCAGAGAGAAATGGTCACTGAAGAGAAGCCTCGTGATTCTTTTAGTGAAGTATGTGATATTGGCAGGGCCATAGTTTACGACCTTTTTCTGAAGGTAGGTCATATTGCCTTCTATATTTGAATATTGACTTCAATTACCCCATACTTAGAATGTATATTTGACAGGGAGAAAGTGGGTTAGCTATAGCAACATTACAAAAACTTGGAGAGGAGATTGAAACCAGTCTCCGTCAATTATTGTTTGGTGCACTAAGGAGATCCATTCGAACACAAGTTATGGAGGAGATGAAAAGATGTGGATATCTGAAACCGCATGAATTGAAGAAATTGGAGGGATTATCCCTTATCGAGGTTTTCTTATTCATGTGTATTTATTATTTGCCTTTGTCATATGTTTTAAGTCTCTAACATTTCTCTTTCATTTGCTTGTCTTTTTATTTTAATTCTTGTGGAAAAGAGACATTACCCAAGTAGCAGCTTCTGGGGAACGTACTTTGAGAGACAGAGGCAATCATTGGAAGTTCCTCTCACCTCTTCCTCATCAGAAGAACAGCAATTACTAATGCGTTTAGATATGTGGATTGATTGTTCCATTAAATGTGATGAGATTGATGGTGTTGTGATTGGCTCCTGGAGAAATATTTCGAAGGGACCTGACTTTCGAATGACTGGTGAAGATATTGCTAGGGCTGGGTACTGGGTTTGTGCTGCCATTTGGTCTGATTCATGGGATCAAACTACCATTGATCGTGTAAGATTCATTTTTTCATTTGGTTGTTTAAATATTGGACACGTAATGTAATTCTGAAATGATAGTGTTGAAGAATGCCATGGAGCCTCAAGTTAAATTCTATATTATGACTTGCAATGCCATGGTCTCTGGTTTACCTACCACAGAGTGGAACTAATTTCTTTCTTGACCACATTTGCAATCAGGGATCCTATTCTACATTGTGTCCTTGACATGAATCTTATGTTCTGCATTCTACCATTATATTGTGAGTTTCGTGTTATGTGGGAAAAGATGTATAATTGTAGGGCTTAGGAGTCCGGTTCCTAACTGGTTGGGGCAGGTTAATTGTTGGACCGGTTCCTAATTGTCTCCTGGGCCTGGTACTTGTATATAACCAGGCCCGAGCCAGACTTGAAAAAGCACAAGAATTCATTTTCTTCCACCGCATATTTGCCTAGGGTTTTTTGTTTGTGGCATGTTGGTTCTAGTTATTAATGTTTATTTTTTCTTGATACCTTATCACATGCCGATTTTAAATGTTTAACATTGTTGCTTTTGGTCAGTAAAGTTAAGGCTTTCGCTTTCACCTTCAATGTGGTGTTTTCTGTTATAAGAGTGATACCATATGGCTAGTTTATAAATTTAGCTCACCTGGAGGATGGCTTAATGCCACAGTGGATGCTGAGTTGGCCTATTCTTGCTCCATTGGTTCAAAACTTGAGTCCTCCCTTGGATGGCATTTTGTAATTATTGCAGTGAAATCATAAAATTTGGCTATTTCATAATAGCAATGATTTCTGCTACTTCAATTCAACATCTCCTTTGAAAAATGGTTGCATTTATAGTGCAACTCTTCTAATGTGTGACTGCGCTGTTTTATTCTCTCTAAAAGCTTTGATATGTTTGTTGTTGCATACGCAAGTACCCATATTTTAGGAATGTTCTCTGCTTACTATAAAATAAAATATTTCTTTTGCTGATTTGTTATTGTGATGTTTGTAAAATTGTGTTTGTTGGTGCTCTGTTTATTTTTCTGTTCCCATCCTTGCAAGATTACTTTTCGGTTTTTGTCTCATAGCACTATATATCATTTCCGGGCATTATAGCGTTTTGATTAGTCTATACTATTGGAGATAAATAACAGAATGCAGATGTAGAAGAGCACACGTTTCAATTTAGCTGTGCTAAAATAATGTCAGTTGGTGCACGGATTTTGGAATTGCCTGACTTCTCGTAGTTGTATGCTTGTTTCTGTTTGATCTTGATATGTGTGCTTTATTTTGAATTATATGAATTTCTGTTGAACGACTATCAATCCCAATGCCCAAGGATTTTCATCAATCTTATTTTTTGTGCAGATAGTGCTGGATCAACCCCTTACTCTAGGAGTTCATATACCTTGGGAATCCCAGTTTGAGTATCATGTTGCACATAATAACTGGGATGAGATTGAAAAGCTCTTAGACATTATTCCCTCAGAAATATTGGTGGATGGAATTCTGAGAATCGATTTGGATTGCATATATCCTGATTCATATTCTAATGGGGAAAAAAACACTTGTTTCCCAACATATGCTCATTCTTCTCCTAATTTGGAGCCTGACTTCGTGAATATACCTGATGTTAAAATCCTCAAGTTATCAGGAGCCAGCATATGTTCATCCTGGGTAAAGATTCTTTTGGAGCAGGAACTTGCCAAGAGGTTTATTTTCTTGAAAGAATACTGGGAAAGTACCGCAGAAATTATGCCTCTTCTTGCTCAAGCGGGTTTGATATATGACAATTCTACTCAAGGCGCCATCGATAAGCTGGAAAAAAAATCGTCAGATTCGCAAGTATTAGAGACAGATATACATTCTCACAGAGATACTTCAGAAGCTTTGCATAGACTTGTAATCCACTATTGTGTACAATACGCTTTGCCACATCTCTTGGACTTGTATCTGGACCACCACAAATTGGTTTGCGATAATGATTCTCTTAGTTCACTGGAAGAATCTGCTGTAAGTTGCCCATAGCTTAATTTGTTCTTTCCTTCAAATGAGGATGGTTTGGGATAATGTGTGCAGTTTCAATGTTTCTATCTTGATTTTTTCATTCGCTATTATGTTCAACACCATCTTATAGTTGTATTATAATGATATATTTTTCTCCATCTCATAAACTTTCTAGAGCTTGACGTTCTCTAAAACATCCTGTGGTAATCTGTTTTTGGTTTTAAAGCCTCCAAAAGCACCCTACATTGGAGAGTACCCTTTTCTTTGTCGAATTTAGGAGTAAACACCTAGAAGCCTTGGATTGTTAGAAATAATTCCCTTTTTCTGCTACAATCACCTCGTTCATCACTAACTATGATTTAATTCTGGTTAAAATGTTTGCAGATTGGGTTTACCATTGATAAAAGATAGAAATCCTAACATTCCTCCTCTCTCTCTCTATCTGTCTTAAGGGAGGAGGCCATTGCTGGGCAGGTCTGGTTGGAGGACGACCTCCTCCTCTGGGTTGGTGTGGTGGGGGGCTTTCTCTTAGCTGGGGTCCATTAGGGAGTATTTCCCCCTTCTCCGTCCTTAATGGGGGGGAGGGAGTTGTCACTTGGCTGGGCTCTCAGTTGAAGGTTTGGCGCCGTTGAAAAGGTGGCAATCGCCAACATGGGCCTAAGTGGGAGAATGAGCCCCTTGTCTGTTTGAGGGGGTGGAGGTGACTCGAAGTTAGGCCAGGGCCTGGTGAACAGGCCATATCCAGGTGCTCAGGATATTGCCCAAACCATGGTGACACGATGGGCCCTTTCATTGGCTCTTTGGTGGCTTGTTTGACCTTGTCCTAGTCTGCATCCTCGGTGGCAAGATGGGTCTACGCCTCATCCCTCTTAACACCTTTGAGGGAATGGTTGGAGCACCTTGGGCTTTTAGTTAGGCTTGCGACAAGGTTACAGGAATTTATAGGACTAGAAAGGTTATTATGGTCTTTAAAAGGGTAATTTGATATTTATGAAAAATTTCATGACACAGGTGTTAAGAGGGTATTCACTGCATTTCCAATTTTAAATCAGCAGCTTGAGCCCCGGGGCTTAATTTATGATAGTTATGAGGACTTATTACCGAATAAAGTTAATTAATTTTCTTAGATTTGGGGTTGGTTTGACACTGGACACTGAAACATTTAGTGAGTTGTTAATCCTTAATCTTCACGGAATCTTTTTTTCTCAGTATTTATTTGCAAACTGAAAGTGAAAATAGAAAGTCATAGATGCTGCATCTGGTGTTTACAAGCCACACTCTCTCAAAATGGCATGTTGATATTGCAATGGATGCTTGTGCATTTCCTTATCAGTGTAAAGGCTTGTAACTACCATGCAGTTTAACTGAAAATTTTAAATAGGAAGCTTGTTTAAAGTTTTTGAATTTAGTTTAAACAGGAAGCTTCCTCGTTGTAATAAGCTGAATGTTTATTTGCCCTAGGTAATGTGACAAAGTTGGTTTTATCAGTCATAAGTTGGTTCTTTGAAAAGTGATATAGATTAGCTTATATTCTTACTAATATGAGTGCCTGTTTATATCCTTAGTCATAAGTTGCTTATATTCTTACTTCAAGTATATTTTTGGACTTTCAACCTTCATCAGCGAAAATCTATCTCATCATGGAAGTTCTTGACGAACAAACCATTTCTTGATCCAGACTCTTAAAATGATGCCTCTAGATTCTCATTCATTTTTCCCTCATGTCTTTATCGCGTTTTTCTCCCAAATAGATTTCATGAGTACAAGGAAATGGCATTCAAGGACTACCTCTCATCCCTAATATCATCGCCATGTCATGATCATTATAATCCCTGGCCCTTATCTTCTGATCACCTTTTCATCTAACTTCTGGTGTATTATTTCCCTTTGTGGGAAGCAGGAGAGCCATGCATTGATAGTAGTGATAAACTTTGGTACCTTGCTCCCGTGAAAATTATTGCAAACTAGGAAATTGCTCATTATCCACACTATTTGATATGGGCATAGCGTTGTTCCTCTTCCTAAGGCTTATTAGATACTCTGTTTTCTATGCCTGCCCTTTACATATCTCTGGTCTGTTTTTCCATTAGCAAAAGCATAAGCCTATCAGCCAAAGCTAGATTCGAAGCCAATTATTTTCATTAACAGTGCACATGAGGGGCGTGAGCTGTCAAAGGCATATCCTCCTACAGAAATATTTTATGCGTTGAGGATTAACTTCATCTTTGTTGAGGATTAATGATCCACATGAGTTAATTTGCGTCTACCACTCCCTTAGGGCTAAATATTTACTGTTTTCTGCTTACTAAAAAATTTCACTGCCTTCTTTTTTTTTCTCTTAACACTAGTTTGAGGTTCCCTTGCTGAAAAAAGTCACAGAACGTTTTCAATGCTCAAGTCTTTCCTCAGGGCAGTCATCTAACTACCGAGTTTATAGCCCAATGGATTATTAGGCATCTAAAACATTGGTCTCATTGAAGAAGGCTCAGTTATGCTGTGTATTGAATGTCACACAGCCTGAACTTCTTAGATTGAGTAATCGCCTTCCTTTCTTCTATGTAGAAATGTCTTCTACCGGACATTTAAAGAAGCAACAATTGAAATATCTTGACACGCCCTGTCTTGATAGTGTTTGGTTCAGTCTGACGGAAATGTAGATGTAGCAAAGAGTTACACTAAATGTCACAAGGGAGTGTCTCTTTTGTTCCCTTTGTCCTTTCATTAGACTATTTTCGTGATTAAGGGTTTTGAACAGAGGTCATTTATCAGGTTTTTGAAGTTTTTATGCGGCAAGAAAAAGTTAATGAACTTTAAAGTTTCTTGGAAAAGTAAAAATGCTAGATAGCTATAATTGAATGCCGTCAAATAATCCTAGATGATGCATAGTCTGTCATCCTTTTGATTCTCTTAAATTTTTCAAAATCAATGACGGCTGTGTTGATTTATTTTATCTTTTTTTTATCATCCTTCAATATTTATTTATCGACCAATGCTTATGACTAAGGATTTTGAATGCATGAGGTGGTTATGTAGGTTTTAAAAGTTCCATGTGACGAGAAAAAGCCATGAAGCTTCTTCAAGTTATGTAAAAATCTCGAGGGGGAAGACAGCTGTAATGGCATAGAGACAAATAATCCTAGATAGAGCTTGCTCTTTTGATTCCTTCGTTTTATTTTTTCTAAATCAATGAATTGTGATTGTTCTGTTTTCCATGAACTTGCTTTTCTCTTACCATCCTTCTTCATTGTTCTTCCCAGTTAAATAGAAGGAAATATGGCAAGTGCCTCTGCCACCCATAGTTCTGATTTGAGAAAATCCAAATTCTAAATATTAATCTCTTCCATTCATCTTAAGGCCTTTCAACATATCAGAAACACTAGCAAAAAAGTAGACTGAATATACAGTCAGCACCGTTGAATTCATCCTCATCCTTTGTACATTGGGCGAATCTGGTTAATAATATTCACTATAGTAATAGATTTAGAGCCCCTATGCTAGTATTTGCTTTAAAGAGTCGCTAACATTGATTAGGGTTGGAATTAAATGTCAATTACTGTCTACTGTAAGGTATGAGGTCATAACTTGAAGTCCTCCGTATTCGCTTTATTCGTTGTTACTTTAACTGAGAGAATCTTCCCAGATATTGTCAATTGACTTGTGCAATGTGTTCTCATATACTTCATTTTTTCAGTAATTTATTCGTTTCTGACGTTTTGCTTCAGTGTCTCATCTGAGCGAGCTTTTTTCAGTGATCTACTGTCTACTGCTGCATTTCATAATGTCATCTGCGTTTTCATGTGCTCATGCGTTTCAGCTTGATATGTGTTATTGATCCAGTGATACTATTGGAATAACTGATATAGATCTAATGGCTTTCAGGGGAGATGCCAATGGGCAAAATGGTTGCTATTTTCAAAGGTCATAGGTCGTGAGTATGATGCATCATTTGCCAATGCTCGGTCAATTTTACCTAATCATGCCATTCAGCATGATAGCCTTACTCTTTTAGATGTTGATGAAAGAATCTGCACGGTTGATGATATGGCTAAAGGAGGAGGAGAAAAAATGGCTTTAGCTACTCTAATGTATGCACCTGTTCCCATCCAGAAGTGCTTGTTTTGGGGCAGTGTCAACAGGAACTCTAGGTCTTCGTTCCAGTGCACATTGGAGAATCTACAAACTGGTCTCCAGAAATTCCCCACACTTTGGTCCACTCTTGTTTCAGCTTGCACTGGACATGATTCAGATGCCAATCCTACGAGCATGAATAACCAAAGCGGTTGGCTTCTTGCTGTACTGAATTTCTTTTGTCTTGCTTGCATGGTCTTCTACACTTTTGTGGTTGTCAGACTTTTACTCAGGTTTTCTTTGCAGTGCTGAGCCGGTCCCTTTCACCAGACTACTTGAAATGGCGTGATAATGTTTTTTCCTCCGCTGGAGGTGATACTTCTTTGGTACAAATGCTTCCATTCTGGCTCCCTAAACCTATCAGGAGATTGGTCAAGCTCTTTGTCCAGGTTTCTTTTTGCACTGATTCTCTGTTGTCAAATGAATACTACTTGTCAGCATTTCAATGATTTACCTTTTGGTTGCGAATATTAATTGATAAGTTGCCTGAGGTGAACACTGTCACTTTCTGAGTGGGAATAAGTTTGAATGGGTGCTTAACTAGAAGATTCCTTGAATTCAAGAGAGTGTTCTTTAACTTTTTGTCCTTATTAAACAACATTTTCGTATTTAGTTCTCTAGAAACTTTATTTATTTTCAAAAATTTAAACTAGCATGCCTCATAATGACTTGGTGATTTCACATTTTAAGCCGGATTGGAAACTGAATTTGTTAATGTTGGCATTGGTTGAGCTATCTGGTTTTGTTTGCACGTGAAGCCTTCAAGTAGGATAACATATGTGAATCCTGTAAATGGAAGAGATTTCATTGATGCGAGTTAATGATTGTTGAGATGTGAATGAAAAGTTTAGTTGAAGCCCAACATATTTAGTCATATGGGAGATGCTGGCATTGTACCTACAAATCTTGGCCAAATTAAGGGAATGCCATTTAAAATGCATTGGGCAGAGGCAGCGGTCCCTCAGGACAGGGCAAAGAACACGAAACGGAGTTCATAAGAATTGCCAAAATGTAACTCTTGACATCACAATCCATTAGAATTTTCAATGGGATACAGTGTCGTCTTTGTCTATTGATATCAAGTCTTAAGAGTATTGATTCTTCTTTTTTTTTTTTAATATTGGCATTATGGGCATGTTTTCTACTTGTACACGGTTATAATTGTCATCAATAGGTTTCAGCCTATAAATTCAGCCCCTCTTTTGAGCTATTTTTCGCACTTTCCAGGTTTCTTTAGACTTTTGTCAGCTGTCGTCTGTTTGGTTATGTCAAAAGGCAATGTATGGTAATGACGGTGATCAAAATCATAATTTTAATTTGCTACCATGGTTATATGTAGTCTTTAACGTTGTTTATTTGTTTCCTTGACGTTTATAGTTATATTCAAAGCTAAAGACGTCAGTCTGGTCCTAAGCTTTCCGAATAAAAATATTCCTAGCTCTATATTTATACACTCTTCGCCATGTACTTCATAAGGTTGAGTTCTTCATACGTGTCTTTGCAGGGTCCTCTAGGATGGCATACATCAGCAGAAGCAAAACCTGCTGGAGAAGCTCTGCCTTTGAGAGAGAGTGCTTACATCAACACAAAGAAGAGTGCATTGTTTAATGGCGTATCTTGTGAAGCTTCTATAGACAAAAGTATCAAGGAAGAGCTATATTCTTCTCTTGAGGTAGGTTTTCTTTTTTGTGAGATTGTAGCTCATCAGTGTTATTACTCTCTTTAAATTCATTTTATTTTTTAGTAGTTACTGTAAAATTATGGGAGACCTACAAACGAAGCGTTAAATTGTTGCATTATCCAGATGTAATATTTTTTCCTGTCAGCCAGTATTGGATTCTGTGTGTGAGAAGGGAAATGCATTGATGCAGCTGGCATCTTTGGTATTGAAATATTTGGCTCTCCCAGTCAGTCGTCACATTGTCCATTTACTAAGAAAAAGGCCTGAAATGCATGATCCTTTGTTTAAAATCATGACACACATTCATATGTACTCCAAGACCTGACCTGCTAAAACCTAATCTAAGAATGCCTGAAGACTCTCCTCTCTCTTTGCATGTTTACATTGGACATGCGAGGGAAGCAGTGACCTTTCTCCCAAATGATTCTTAAACGTAGTTAAATGAAACTATTCATTGTTCCCTTCATTGAGATACTACAATATTTGGCATCCTAAATGGCATATATTGTATTTTTTCTATTACATATATTCATTAAACTGGATGCAGCAGGCGCCAGTAGTTCTCCCATCCCCTCCCCTCCCACCGTCTCCTGTACTAGATTTCTATTTAGCACTTAAACATCTTAGCTTTTGGTTTATTTGTTCTGCAGACGGTTCTTTAATGATGTTTTTTTTCCCTCTTGTTTGCCTTCGTGATTTTCTCAACGTGATGTCTTACATTGTTGGCCATTGAATTTGATTTAAAATAGTTTCAGGGTTGTGCCACCGTTAGATATTAGAGATATATCTCTATATATGGGAAGGAAAATATATTGGGGTCGATTAAGTGAAAATCTCTGCATAGTTTTTACAAAACTTAACAGAAAATGCATCAAATGGGTGACTGAGCTACCCCGCCTTGGAGTTTCCAAACCCTGGATTGGACTGTAAGTTCTTGTGTGGTGCCATGTTCATTGAGAAGCCCGAGTGGGCAAAATCCTTCCATAAACATGAATGAAAAATAGATATTACATAGCTGACTAAGTACAATAGCTCTCAACCATGGTCAGGACAATTCTATGGTGTAATATGGAGCGGATCGTGTAAGGGTAGCCTGCCAAAATGATTGGCACAATCCTATAGTTCATCGTAGTTTCTAAGTTAGAAAATTTCATAACTTCGGGTTAAAAAAACTTATCTATCTTGTTGCTAAATTGGGCTGTGGTCCCACTCTTGTCCGTCCTTGGCGGCTTTCCAGGGAATCCTACGATGTCATGGTCTCTTGGTCCGGGCATATTTCTTTTGGACAATATGGTTATGTTTTCTTCAGTGTGCATCACTTTCATTGTTTGAATATTCATACATATTCATACTTGTCAACCTCTCACGTTATAAATAGAGAAAAACTCAACTTTTACCTAATCATTTTCTTTTGCACTTCCACCTCTAAATTCTGGTTGATTTTCTTCGTGTTAATTACATTTGTGTTGATTTTCTAATTTGAAAATGGCCCAGGACAACACATTTGCAATTGAGCATCATTTGCATCGCAGCCGTGCACTTGGAGTTTTCAGCCATCTGCTTGGTTTACGAGCTCGGAAGTATAAATCAATGCATGGTCATCAACAAGTTTCTGGAGGTTCTATGCCTTTTCTAACCAACGTACAGGCTGATGTTCAGGCACTTTTAGAGCCCCTGACTGAGGATGAAGGACCGGTTATCTCATCTGTATGTTTCGTTTTCTTCTTCAGTCTTCCAATCTTTCAATTTGATGTCCAACCTTACTGGTACTGTATGGAATTCGGATTGGTGAAGCCCATGCACTGTGCTGTCACATTTCAAGTCTCTATCTTTAAAATTAAACTGCAAGCATAAAATTAACAGATGATGCCTTGAGGTACTTGAAGGTTGTGTTTTCGATAATCCGATTTTCTGTCGGTTGCATAACTTCACTTTTTGGTGATTATGTTCTCTATATCTTCATGGGACTGATTTTTCTGCTAATGAAATTTTAGGTGATGCCATTGGCTATCATGAACTTCGAGAATTCTGCCTTGGTTGCGACATGTGCTTTCCTTTTGGAGTTGTTTGGTCTCTCTACTAGCATGCTTCGTGTTGACATTTCAGCTCTACAGCGTATTTCTTCATATGATAAGACTATGAGGAACAGTGTACATTTTAATCACGTCATATCAACGGACACTGCCTTTCACTCATTTTCTCAAGAAGGTGGTCAAACAGCTTCTCTTGCAAGAGCATTAGCAGATAATTACCAGCGGCTTATTGATCTTGGTATTCTTCATCATAAAGATTCACCTGTTCCCATTGAATCCTGTAAGCAGCCACCCGGGACCCTTGTTACTGTTCTGCAGCATTTGGAGAAAGCAAGTTTACCGTCATTGGATAATGGCAAGACATGTGGATCTTGGCTGAAAAATGGAAGCGGAGATGGTACTGAATTTCGATCTCAGCAGGAGGCTGACAGCAAACATTGGAGTCTAGTTCCAGAATTTTGTCGGATGCATCGTCTTCCCTTGAGCACAAAATATTTGGCTTTACTAGCAAAGGACAATGATTGGGTACTCCTGTTTCTTTTATTCTCGTTCTTAGTCCAGGTAAAATTTATTTCTCCAATCCTCATCTTGTTGGTGTCTTGTAGGTTGGATTTCTTACTGAAGCACAGCTTGGGGGATTTCCAATTGACACAGTCATCCAAGTGGTAAGTTTACTTTACAACCTCCGAGCATGTTAGAGTGAGGAATGTTTTGTGTAACCTTTTATTACTATATTGTCCTAATATCTATATTCACCGTGTATCATAGTTGGCCAGGACTCTAACTACGACTTATATACCTTCATGGGATAGTGATTCTTTCAGAACTTTTATGAATGGTTGTTTCGTCTATGATACAGTTGTCTACGTTATGACTTGTCTGCCTGTAATATCTTAGGCATCTAAAGAGTTCAGTGATCTGCGGCTCAGGCTTCACATATTAACGGTTCTCCGAAGTATGCAATCAATGAGAAAGAAAACTAATTCCCCGACAAGTTCAACATCAACAAGGAAGTTCAGTGAAATGTCATTTGCTGAAAATAGCAGTATAACCCCTGTAGAACTCTTTTCACTTGTTGCGGATTGTGAAAAGCAGAAGAATCCTGGTGAGGTCCTTTTACAAAGAGCAAAGGACCTGCGCTGGTCTTTACTAGCAATGATTGCTTCATGTTTTCCGGATGTCTCTCCTTTGTCATGCTTGACAGTTTGGTTGGAGATCACTGCAGCAAGGTGGTTTCAATGAACTTTTGAATTATTAATTTAATATTAGTTCAATCTTGCCCATCTATTATATGCTTTTAACATGATCCTGAAAGGGATGTTAGGCATTTTGTTACTTTTTAGTCTGAAATTTCTTTTGTTTTCCATCTTGTTGCTACTTCCAGGGAAACCTCATCTATCAAGGTTAATGACATTTCCTCCCAAATTGTGAGAAATATTAGAGCTGCTGTCAAATCAACAAATGCCCTCTCGATCAACAGTAAATCTGTTTCATTTCATTATAACAGAAGGAATCCAAAGAGGCGGCAGTATTTGGAGTCCGAATCAAGAGATTGCTCGGCAGTTTCTCCTTCAAATATTCCAGATCCTTCGATTTGCCCTGGTGTTACTGTTGCTGAAGTAACTACTGCTGAAAAGGAAATATTGATTGGAGCTAATGAAGAAACAAATTTTTTTCGTGATCCTGAAGAAGCATTGCTGTCCCTCTCAAATATGGTTGCTGTTCTTTGTGAGCAGCAATTGTTTCTTCCTTTGCTCAGAGCCTTTGATATGTTTCTACCATCCTGTTCTCTCCTTCCTTTTGTGCGCTTTCTTCAGGTCTGATATCGATGCTTCAGATCCTTGACAGAAAATTATTATAATGTATGCATCATTTTTCACCCAGCATCTGATACCAGAATTTTCAACTTTTTCTCTTGCTCTTTCTCTTTTTGATGGTTGAAGGCATTTTCTCAAATGCGACTCTCAGAGGCGTCAGCTCACTTGGCATCATTTTCAGCAAGAATTAGGGAAGAACCATATCATCTAAACTTAAATGCTGCAAGAGATGGAAAGATTGGTGCTCCGTGGATAAGCACCACCGCTGTAAAAGCTGCAAATGCTGTACTGTCAACATGTCCGTCAGCATATGAGAAAAAATGCTTGCTGCAACTTCTGGATGCTGCGAACTTTGGTGATGGGGGAGCTGCAACTACATGCTTTCGGCGGGAATACTGGAAAGTTAATGTGGCTGATCCTCTGCTATGCAATGACAATGATGTTTGCTTAGGAAATGAAGTCCTTGATGATGCTTCAGTTTTGATGGCACTGGAGAGAAGTGGGAAATGGGAGCAAGCTCGTAATTGGGCAAAGTTGATGGAATCAAGTGGCGAGACTGGGAGATCCTCAGTTCACCATGTTACTGAAATGCAGGTAAGATATGGCAAGTCTGATAATTCTGTAAATTTTATTTTCAAATGATGAATGAATCTCAGAATGTGTAGACCGATGGAATCCACTAAAATAACTGAACTTTTGTAGCATGCATTCGATCACTGATGCAGTCGACATGTGTGGTGCTCTCAATTGTAATTATATTTACTTGTGAAATGTTAGAGTTTTCTACTTATAATCAAGATCTCACTTATGAAGGGAATTAAAGTGTAGATGCTATCATGAAATTTGGCACTTTAAATGTTAATGCTTGCCGTTTCAAATGACATTCTTAATTGCTTTCAACAATTTTGAAGTAATATCATTTCAGCTAGCTGTGGTTGCCTATGGGTGCTACCATGGAACTGTATGCTTGTTAAAAATCTCGTTGTTTCCTTCTTCGGTTGACTTCATTAAAAACTTTTACTGTTGGAAGTAATACCATTTAATCCAGCCATAGTTGTCGATAGTAGAAACCTGTGAAATGAGGATATCGGAGTTTATTTAAATGGGAGCAATTTACTTGTGACTGTTCTGAATAAATGTTGTATAATGATTACCTTGTAGGAATTAATCAGTTTTTCTAATTGGAGTCCATTTCATTATTCCATCGCTGTTGATTGTCTATTGGACTGTATTTCAGGCTGAGGCCATGGTAGCAGAATGTAAGGAGTTCCTTTGGGATGTTGCAGAAGAGAGAACTGCTCTATGGAGCCACTGTCAGAGACTTTTTGTTCGTGATTCCCTTCCTGCACTACAGGTCATGCTTTTCCCAGATGCAGATATGCATATTGACAGGCCTGTGTCCGTTGGGTATGTTCAGATTTTGTCTTAATGATGTTCGCTTCTGTTTTTAATTCAGGCGGGGAAGTTTTTTCTAAGGCATGCGGAAGCTATGGAGAAAGAGATTCCGGCTAGAGAAGTGCATGAAATCCTCCTCCTTTCTTTACAATGGTTAAGTGGAACTATGACTGAGTCTAGCCCGTAAGTTTTCCCCCAACAATTTTCTGCGCTTTGTATTATGTTTTTAAACTGATATTTCATCTGCGTCGTATACAGAGTTTATCCATTGCACCTTCTCCGAGAGATTGAAACTAGAGTTTGGCTCTTAGCTGTAGAATCAGAGTCTCAATCCACGACTGATCATGATCATTATGTGCCTAGTTCTCTCCAGAACCCACCTGGTGGAAATAGCACGAGCGTTATAGAACATACTGCGACTATCATTGCAAAAATGGATAATCATATGAATACCGTGCAAATAAGAGCTAAGGAGAGGAGTGTAGCAAGGGAAAGCAATCAGTTACAACCCCGGCATTGGCTATCCTCAGATGCAAGTTCTCTATCTGCGGCTGGGAACAGTACAAAGCGAAGAGGCAAAGTTTCTGTCAAGCCAAGTCTGTCATTTATGGATAATACACACAAGGATACCGAAACTGCCGAAAATCCCAGTGCTTCCCACACTAATAAGACCAACAGTTCATTGTTGAGACAATATCATGTAGAGAATGTGAAAATAGAGAGCGCATTTTTAGGATGGGAAGAACGATTGAGACCTGCTGAGTTGGAGATGGCTGTCCTTTCATTATTGGAATTTGGGCAAGTAACAGCTGCTAGGCAGCTTCAGCAGAAACTCTCTCCAGCAAGTCCACCATCTGAACTTATAATCATTGATGCTGCATTAAAAATCGCATCTATTCTATCACCCAGCACCAGTGGAAAAATTTCTGTATCTGCTTTGGATCCTGAACTGTCTTCAGTTATTGAATCGTATGATATCAATTGTAGAGACAACTGTGACTTGCTACAGGTTTGGTTTTAAGATTCAGTTATTTTATTTGTCACGTTCGTTTCTTCATTCTCATACCTCATCGAAAATGTGATAAATTCAGTTGTATTTGGAGCTTTTCCTAGTTTTTGTTTGTTGCTGTGACTATGCTTTGAATACTGATGAGAAAATTTTAAATATTGTTTCCTAGGATCTGAGTGTGGGTCGCTGCCATATTCTTCTTATTGCTCTTTTACAGGTTCTGGAAACATTGACCACGAAGTGTAGTGAAGGTTGTGGGCGTGGATTGTGCAAGAAAATTGTAGCGGTTGTTAAAGCAGCAAATGTTCTCGGCCTGTCATTCTCAGAGGCATTTGAAAAACGTCCTATTGAACTTCTTCAGTTGCTCTCTCTCAAAGCACAAGATTCACTGGAAGAAGCCAGGTTACTTGTGCTGACCCACACCATGCCTCCAGCAAGCATTGCAAAGATTCTTGCAGAATCCTTTTTGAAGGCATGGTTTCTCAATAGTTTGTTCGTTCGATGAAACTTAAGATGTTTTATTATAACTTGAACGTGCATGAAAACGGTCCTAATCCTCCTTTCAGGGACTGCTGGCAGCGCATCGTGGAGGATATATGGATTCTCAAAATGATGAAGGACCTGCTCCTCTCTTGTGGAGGTTCTGTGACTTCCTAAAATGGGCTGAACTTTGTCCATCTGAACAAGAAATTGGGCATGCACTTACACGTTTAGTTATGACTGGACAAGAAATACCACATGCATGTGAGGTATTATGTACTTCCATAATGTTTTATTTGTTGAATAAATTATTCTGGTTGTCATTTTAAAAACATGACAACCATCTTGCTCGATTGACACTATGATGCAAGTTTTCAAATTTTGATTTAGCATGAAATTGTATTGGTCGTGGGAAATTGATCTCAGATTATTTTTGTGTAGTTGAGCCTTAAAGGAAGATGTTATTATTTTCTTGAATCATTCCGCCTGAAGACATGTTTTTTTCACCTTTATATAATAAAAAAATATGAAAGGGCCTTTTTGTGGAACTGACATAGGAAAATAGTAACTAGGGTAGTCTGAAGTACCTCCGGGAAATCATAGATAAGCCAGTTGTAGTTTCCGGATAGAGATGGAAAAATTAAATGAGGACAGGCTGTTAGGGAGATGAACATGAAAACTTTAAGTGCATTCATTATAGCATATTTGTGGAAACTGCGCCTGCTGTTGTAGATAATCAGGAGAGTTGAATTGTATAGACCTCATAAATGACAATTATATGACCTTGCTCATGATGATATGAGACCCATGAGGTTGATGTCAAGCCTTCAAACATAAAACATGTCCATACTTCTAGATTACGTGTAGCAGAGGTACAAAGTCACGAGAGTGTGAAAATTATGCCCAAGATTTTGTGTATTATGAGCCAGCTACTTGGAGGACTGTCTCATCATTCCATTGTGTCATTTTCATAATCATAGTTCGATGAAGATCAAATGCGTAGGAGAACAGTGAGCTTCTCTCCTTAGAGAACAGCCATGTTCATTGTAAAGGGGACACTTTTCTTGTCATCCGACTATCACATGGTCCTATGCACGTTGGTTCGGATGAGATTGACATGCAGAGTATGGTGTTGACATGATTATTTAATGGCTATTAAAGGTAATGTTTCCCATGAAGTCTGTGACAACCACAATATCAAACGCGTCTACATCCCTGGCTGCAATTAAATAACTGCCGTAAAGTATTGTTCTTATTATGACGATGCATATCTTTCATACATATTTTTGTTGAAGACGAATGATACCTAGACGCAGAGCAATCTCGATGCCTTACTGTTAACAGTACTGTTCTATAATTTTATCCAAAGCTCCGAATTTACGGTGCCATTTTTTGTAAATGAAGCACAATTAATCATAGGAACATGCTTAATCGGGCATTTTATATGAGTCATGTTTCTTATTAACACATTCACAAGGTGTTGTAATTATTCTTTTGGAAGTTGAATCATATCGTATGGTCTAGGGTATACATCGGAATCATCCAAACTTGATCCACCAGTAGGAATATGGAAATTTAGTGAGAGAATGTGGATGTGCATTTCCTCCTGGTATTGTTGCAATTCAACAAGTTTCCTTCCGTCATGGATTTAGCTATTGCCAATCCTGATCCAAAATGGTCAATCAAAATCCCCATATCCCTTTTTGCAGTCCTGATCCTCTGCATGTTGGATTTTGCTTTCATTATGCTATTTAGGGTGAGGGGCCGTGGACTGTCTCGGTTTTTATCATTCCATGTGAAACCTATTGGCTCGATTTCAAATATCTTGAATGGAACTGTGACTATAATCTGTTAAAGCTTGTCGTTCCTTGAAATGACTACAGATAGATTTTTGGTACATTTATGATTAGCATGTAAAATGTTAGCCAGCATTTATAACCTGTTGGCATTTACATCTTATGGGCCTTGAATATTTACACTCTTCCCACAGTTTGTTCGTTCCATTCACGTATATATTTTGCTAAAAGGAATGATTGAAATGCCATGTCAGGTTGAGCTCCTCATACTTTCCCATCACTTCTACAAGTTGTCTGCCTGCCTCGACGGAGTCGATGTTCTGGTGGCCCTGGCAGCAAAGAGGGTGGAATCATATGTGTTAGAGGGTGATTTTTCTTGTTTGGCTCGCTTGGTGACTGGGGTCAGCAACTTCCACGCCCTGAATTTCATCCTAGGCATTCTCATCGAGAATGGCCAATTGGAGCTTCTCCTGCAGAAGTACTCAGCCGCTGATCCTGCCACGGGTACGACTGAGGCAGCCACAGGATTTCGAATGGCTGTCCTGACAGCATTGAAGCATTTCAGCTCCCATGATCTTGATTCAAATGCCATGGTTTGTACATGAGATCCTCTTCTCTACTTCCGTTCTCTTACTTTCTTACATTTCTAGCTAGAAGTTAATCTGTTATTTAGAGACTTCTTGCTCGCTCCAGGGGTCTTAGCCACCGATGAACGAGATCATATGAGATGATCTCTTCATCTCTATTTCTTGGCCCACATATCTTCTTCATATGCATGCGTACAAGTTCCCCTTTCTTAGTTTTCCTTTTTTTCCGCAAGAATCCTCATCTTAAATACGATGAAGTCGAGTTTTTCTCAGCTAATTTGAAAATCTTCGCTGAACTTGAAAACCGAAAAGCACGTTGCACTTCCCTGAACTCGAGTTTTCCACTGGGAGTTTCCTGCGAACTTGATCAGACCTCTCAGACCTCTGGGATCCGAACTGGATCAATATTGCATGGCGCTGCCAGTCGCTCTGTCTCTTGCTTACTCTTCCGCTCCCATTTACTGATCGCGCAGATCTACAGCCACTTCGACATGAAGCACGAGACGGCCTCGCTGCTGGAATTCAGGTCCAGGCAGTGTATGCAGCAGTGGCTCACCCGGCCCGAGAAGGAGCGGCAGAACGAGGCTCTCCTGGAAGCGATGCGCTTCCTGATCGAGGCCGCCGAGGTGTACGCCACCGTCGACGCCGGCCAAAAGACCCACCGCGCCTGCGCCCGCGCCTCCCTCCTCTCCTTGCAGATCCGCATACCCGACATTCACTGGACGGACCTCTCCGACACCAACGCCCGCCGGGTTCTCGTGGAGCAGTCGCGCTTCCAGGAGGCCCTCATCGTCGCCGAGGCCTACGGCCTGAACCAGCCGAGCGAGTGGGCTCCCGTCCTGTGGAACCGGATGCTCAGGCCGGACCTGATCGAGCAGTTCGTGGCGGAGTTCGTGGCCGTGCTCCCCCTGCAGCCGTCGATGCTCCTGGAGCTGGCTAAGTTCTACAGGGCCGAGGTGGTGGCCCGGGGGGACCAGTCTCACTTCTCCGTGTGGCTCTCCCCCGGGGGGCTGCCGGCGGAGTGGATCAAGCACCTGGGCAGGTCCTTCCGCTGCCTATTGAAGAGGACCAGGGACCTGCGGGTAAGAGCCCAGCTCGCCGCCGTCGCCACGGGCTTCAACGACGTGGTCGAGGCCTGCAACAGGATACTCGACAAGGTGCCGGACCTGGCGGGGCCACTCATCCTCAGGAAGGGCCACGGTGGGGCCTACCTTCCGCTCATGTGAGACGGAAAAGGGGGAGGGAGTATTTCCTTCGGGTTTCAGCTGAAGAGCTCTAGGAGTTCTTTCACTGCTGCCCACCACCTACCTACCCCCTGGTTTTTGAAGTTGTTTCTGGCCGGCTGTGTCTTCGGCAGAAGCTGCTGCTGGGCTGGCCGATTCTTTTGGTTATTTGTTGTACATATAAAACGCAATAGAGTTTTCCCAAGTTTTGTGGGCAAGGAAGTTCTAGGTTTCTAGGTTGTTCGTCCTCCAAGCATACAATAATGATTTTACCTGTACAAGAAGGCAGCCCAGCGCTGCTAGAGGCTCTGTGTTTGTCCATCCTCCAAGCGCATCTAATATTTTTCATCCATATACAACTCTATGTATGTTAATTAATATACACACGCACACACACATATATATGGATCGAGAGAGAGAGAGAGTGCAAAGGTGCCGAATGTGGTCAATGGGTTTGGTTATCGGCCTCAGCGAAGTGGATGCTCAAGACGTGTGCGGCTCGTGCATGGATTCCTCACGGGTGGTAGAGCTCTTTGCCTCCAGTGTGAATGCCGCAGCGGAGAGTCCGACGTCTCTTTTGACTGATTGGGGAATCAAGAACCTTCTACTCGGTCCCCTTCCTTCCTCGGGTGCTCTTCCACCGACGTTGGGTTGCCATTACCAGACAGCTGGCGGGCTCAGACTCAGAAGGTTGAAGAATAAGAGATTATCGAAGATCTTCTCGAGAAGAAGAAGAAGAGAGCTACATTATCGTATGTTCGTCAAACCCGTGTAGAAGGTCAAACAGAAAAAGAATGTTTAGCGCCTCAAAAACCCATAGACTCGGGGACGGCCGGTCAGGGAAAGCGCTCCTGAAGGAGTTCCCGTTCACATCACGCCGCACCCGGCCGTGTTCTCGTCGTTGAAGTATTCTCCAAACTGCGAAAGGCCGACCGGGGGCGCCGGTGGACAGTGCCGGTAGGGATCCCGAGTGCAACAGTGTGGCGGCGGAACAGCCCCGCCCGCGCATCCGGCGTAGTACGCTGCTGAGGGGTAAGCTTCCACGGCGTAGTAGACACGGGCACTTGGAGTTCCACCTGAGTTGACTATGTAGCTCACTGGAGGAAGATTTGTGGCTGTTGAGAGTAGAGGAACTGCCGTATACGTAGGATTTACTACGTTCTTTAGAAACTCTGGCTCCGTGTAGACCATCTTCTCTGCTTTATCGCCACCATCTCCACTGCCATGGTTGTCGCTTTGGCTGTTATCCTTTCTCTTGACATTCTTGGCGTTCTGGTTCCCATCTGCGACGGGGACGTCCACAACTTGCTTCTCTTTGTGCTCGGGTTTCTTTTCTTCCACTTTCCTCTTCGGCTCCGCCGGCCATGGTTCTGCTCTCTTCCCGTATTTCGCCAGCCTCTTTATGAGAATCTGCTGCTCGACGTTGCCCAGGATGGTGACCTTGGAAAGCGTTGGGTGGATATCTGCCTTCAGAACGCCTTAACACCATTGAAGACCATGGTGAGTTGAAGTTGTGAATATCAGTCTCTGATTATATGTTATTGCTTACTCTAAATCATCGTCGATTAGTAGAGTTGAATGACGCTATCATGTTGAAAGGAGTACTATGACATAACGGGACAAGGGAACCATATAACAAAACTCAAGAAGGTTTTGAAGCTTGCGGGGAGATTAAATTTCTGCTGTTACCTTTAATGCTGAGGGCCTTCATCACCTTCTTCTTGCAACCTTCACAGCAGTTTCCAGTGACCTTCAACTCGATCTTCTGGAAGAGATCCAGCGAGAAATACCCTTGTCATCATCCAGCAGGAGAGAACAGAGTTTGAAGAAGAGGAAAACAAGAAGAGAGACTTGGGGTTCGCCGACACACATTCACGTCTTCTTCCTTGGCCATGACCGCTGCCGATGAGTGAGTCAGACCCCTGGGATGGAGGGATTGGAGGGGGGGGGGGGGGCTTTCTTCGGTTGGTGTTTGTAGATCGTGGAAGGGGAAAGAAGAAAGGGGGAGTCTGCGAGCAAGCAGGAGCTCGGGTGGTGGGAATTTATGTGCCAACTTTCGGAGTAATCCTGGGAATCCTACCGTCAACTCTGCTTTCTGCGTCTTACCTCCATGAGAATACCACACCCCGAAGACAACTCACATCACCCTTGCAAAGAGAGAAAGAGAAAGGAGATCTCTCCACGTTCCCATTCTCACCACCACTAAACCCCTCCTCTGCCACCACATCACCCCCCTCCCCCTCTTTCCCCAAGCTGGGACATTGCGGGAAAAGGAGAAGAGCCTGCGTTGGAGATTCGACTGGCTCGGAGTTTAATTAGTGAGTGGAGAGCAGGCAGGAGTCGGCTGGAGGTCCCCGAGGAGGTCGGGCAATGAAGACTGCCGGAAACGGCGGTTGGAGGTCTTCTTGGTGCCCAAGAAAACCAAATCGCGACATCCACCTAGGCCTTGGCGGAATCGCTGAGTTAGACAACCCATTTGAGCTAAAGATCGATTCCCCTCTTCTACCCTCCTCCCTTCTCGTCCTATGGGAGATTAATTATCATTAGTTTAAAGACAGAACATGACAGATGGGAGACGAACACCAACCCAAAAGGCCACATCAACGAATAAACAACCGCAAAGAGCTGAGCTTGGTAAGGATCCAGTTCCTTGTGTCATTCCCTTTCCCTTCTATTCCCCGAGCTTTTGTGTTGCTCACTAGCTATTTTGCTGTCTCCGTCCTGAGATGAAGCTCCTGGTGCTGCTCCTGCTGCTGCTTCTCCTCTCTCTCTCTCGCTCGCTCGCTCGCTCGCTCTCTCTCTCTCTCTCTCTCCCCCCCCCAGTCACTCGGTCACTTCTCGGGTTCTGAAGGTCAGTCTGCAGAATCTAGCATCAAACTTGACGTTAATTAAAAGAAAATCTCCAGTATATCAAGCATGAAATCTTGACGATCCCTTCCAACCCATTAGAATCTACGGACAGTCTCTCTCGGAGGGGAGATATGCCATTTAATTAGTTCGGCTTACAGGTTATGATTTTCCAAATCATTTTAAACTTTACCTGTCAACAGAACGGATAAACATTAACGTCAGCCATCGATGCCTATGATTCGTAGTAAACAAGGCTTTGGATGATAATCGGCTTTGAATAACACCCGATCGATTTCCTTGCACCAAACGTAGAACTGTCCATGGAACTTGTACGTGTGTTGATCGAAATCTATCGTGAAGATAAATCATCAAATATATCTTATCCTGTTGTTACATGCCCGACAGATGAGCATACTAGAGTAGGGTCAGACAGAGAGACAGAGAGGTACTGGACGATCTGAGAGAAAGAGAGAGAGAGAGAGGCATTAGAGTCTCCGAGAGAGACAGTAAAAGGGTCAGACGGAGAGAGGATATAAGGACAGTGATATGAGAAAGAGATAACAGTGGAGTTTCACAGAGGATGAGAGGGAGAGAAAGCTAAATAGAGATACGAGTGGAGTGTAAGAGAGAATGGGGGGGAGAGAGGGAGAAAGAGATGAGCAAAATGAACAGTCAGAGAGGGAGAGAGGGAGAAAGAGATAAGAGTGGAGTGTCACAGAAGATGGGAGCGAGAGCGGAAGAAAGAGATAAGAAAATGAACAGTCAGAGAAGGAGAGATTGAGAGTAAGAGAGAAAGAGAGAGTGTTGTGAACGGGAGCCTTGCACGTGGCCCCCCCCCCGCCCTGTTCCATAACGGCATAGTGCGGTTATGCGAGAAGTGCTCTAACGTGTACACGTCAGAGCACGTTGTGCGGTAATGCGGAATTTCCTGCATAACGCACATTACTGGCCAGTCTTGGCCAGCTAGTTATTTCTTACGGTTATTTCTTTCCCCCCTTTGTTTTCTTATTTAAAGAGGACTGTGAGAGTTTTTCAAAAGAGAGAAAGTCTTCCTTGTTCCTCCTGCTGTGTTTTTCCTGTGACTCGGGTGGTGATCTCGCCGGCGACGTCTTAACTGCCGTCGTCTCTCCGGCGAGTTCCTGACAATTGGTATCAGAACTCCCAGGTTGCGGGCCGGGACTCGATCGCGGCAAGGTACAGCCGTTGGAATCGAGAACGCATAATCGAGACGCGCTATGGCAGAAGGAAAGGACGGCGTGGTCCAGAGGGTGATTCGTGAGGTGAGCGCCGGGACCGGGTTCCCAATGCTCACCAAGACCAACTACTCCGACTGGGCGCTGCTCATGAAGGTCAAGCTCAGAGCCCGGTTGCTCTGGACCGCCATTGAGAAAGGGGGCGTCGAACCCCATGAAGACATGCAGGCGCTCGACGCGCTCTGCAGCGCCGTGCCGCCGGAAATGTGGCCGGTGATCGCGAACAAGGAGACGGCCAAGGAGGCCTGGGAGGCTATCGCCACCATGCGGATCGGCGATGACCGCGCAAAGAAGACGTCGGCTCAGAACTTGCGGCGGCAGTTCGACTCGGCGACGTTCAAGGAGGGAGAGTCTGTTGAGGACTACGCGCTGCGTCTCAACAGCATGGCGTCGACTCTCACCACCCTCGGCGACAAGGTCGAAGAGACGCAGGTAGTGGAGAAGATAATCCGCAGTGTTCCCCAGCGTTTCAGGCAGATCGTGGTCGCGATCACGATGCTGCTCGACGTGTCGACGCTCACCATCGCGGATTTGACGGGTCGGCTCAAGGCGGCGGAGGATGCCTTCGAGGAACCGCCGTCGGCTATGCACCACGACGGCAAGCTGTACCTGACCGAGGAAGAGTGGGATGCACGGCGGAGGAAGCGTGATGCTGAGAAAACTGGTGGTGGAGGTAGCAGCAGCGTGACGCACCGTGGCGGACATGGGCGCGGGCGCGGGCGCGGCCGTGGCAGCGACAAGGGCTCGTCATCAGCCGGCCTGACGGGCAACTCAGGCCGGCCCAGAGGTGATGAGTGCAGGAGATGCGGGAAGCTGGGCCACTGGGCCCGCGAGTGCCGCTCCAAGCCCAAGAAAGAGCAGGCCCACGTCCTCCAGGATGAGGAGGAGGCCTCGCTCCTTCTCATGAAGTCAACGACGGCCATATCGACGGCGTCGCCACCAACCTCCACTCCACCACGTTTTGCTGTGACTCCGCAGGCAGAGGATCGGCTCCGGCGTGCAAGCCCACCGCCGCCGGGAGCAAAAGGGGTCCCCGTCAATGGAGGGGCTGCCAAAGAAGAGAAGAAGCCAGGCGCCCAGACCCAGATCCATCTGCGGGAAGAAAAGGTGTTCGCCCACCTTGAAGAGGAGGAGCTGCGTGATGATGAGGCGTGGGTCGTGGACACGGGCGCCACGAACCACATGTCGGGTTCCCGTACGGCTTTCACCGAGCTGGACACGGCGGTGCTTGGGACGGTGCGGTTCGGCGACGACTCGGTGGCGCGGATCGAAGGCCGGGGGGCAATCGCGTTCCTGTGCAAGAACGGCGAGCACCGGTCCTTCGCGGGGGTGTATTACATTCCCCGACTGACGACGAACATCGTCAGCGTCGGCCAACTCGATGAGGCCGGGTACCATATCGACATCGAGAAGGGGCGATGAAGATCCATGAGCCAGGCGGACGGCTCCTGGCGAAGGCGATGCGCGGAGAGAACCGGCTGTACATTCTCCACGCCAAGCTGGTTCGGCAGGTGTGCCTGGAGGCGCGGGGAGTCGAAGAAGCTTGGAAATGGCACGCGCGCCTCGGACATGTCAACATGACCGCGCTGCGGAAGATGGCTCGGGAGGAGCTGGTGCGCGGGTTGCCGGCAGTTGGTCAGGTGGACCAGCTGTGTGAGGCGTGTCTCGCTGGCAAGCAGAAGCGGTCGCCGTTCCCCGAGCAGTGAGAGTACCGGGCGCGGCGTGTTCTGGAGCTGGTGCACAGCGACTTCTGTGGTCCGATTGCGCCGGAAACGCCAAACGGCAGCAAGTATTTCCTGCTGCTCGTGGATGATCGAAGCCGGTACATGTGGGTGGCCATGCTGCCTTCAAAGGACCGTGCTGCGCTGGCCATCAAGGAGATCAAGGCTCGGGCAGAAGGCGAGTCAGGACTGAAGCTGGGAGCGCTCCGTACTGATCGGGGAGGCGCTCCGAACGGCACGGTGGTAGCAACCGCGAGGAGCATGCTCAAGGCAAAGGGGCTGCCGGGCTGGTTTTGGGGTGAGGCAGTGGCAACTGCTGTATACATCCTGAACCGGTGTCCGACGAAGAGCGTGGACGGCATGACGCCTTTCGAGGTATGGCACGGGAAGAAGCCGGCGGTGCACCATCTGAAGGTGTTCGGATGCATCGCCTACGTCCTGAACACGACACCGCATCTCAAGAAGCTGGAGGACCGCGGCCGCAAGATGATTTTCATCGGCTACGAGTGCGGATCAAAGGCCTACCGTGCCTACGATCCCACCACGAGGCGTGTCCATGTGACACGGGACGTGGTATTCGTCGAAAATGCCCAGTGGGACTGGGGCAGCGGCGCGGAGCAAGGGGATGCGGGCAGCCACGACGATATGTTCACATTGGAGTATGCCGTCGGGAACCAGGTACCTCCGGAGCTCGATGGCGCCATCGAGGTACTTGATGATGATGCGCCGGGACCGGAGCCGATGTCGCCACCGTCCATGCACTACAGTGGGGGAGCGGCGCCGATTGAAGATGGAGGAGAGGAGGTGGAGTTCGCCACTCCACCCAGTGTCCACATCGACCACCTGGATGCTAATCACGATGATGCGCCACTCCGGTTCCGCAAGATCGACAACATAGTTGGGCTGGCCTCGCCGCGTGGTCTCGCGTCGCGGGCGTTAATTGCAGAGGAGCTGCACGCTGTAAGTTCTGATGAGCCGGTCTCTTTTGCTGAAGCAGAGGGCCACCCGAGCTGGAGGAAGGCTATGGAGGAGGAGATGGCGTCAATCGAGGAGAACCACACCTGGTCCCTGGTAGACCTCCCACATGGTCGCCGGGCGATCGGGTTGAAGTGGGTGTATAAGGTGAAACAGGATGAAAACGGAGCCGTGGCGAAGTACAAGGTGCGCCTGGTGGTGAAGGGCTATGCGCAACGCCAGGGGATCGACTACGACGAGGTGTTCGCACCTGTGGCGCGGCTGGACACGGTGCGCCTTCTCATTACTCTCGCGGCACACGAGGGGTGGGAGGTGCACCACATGGATGTCAAGTCGGCGTTCTTGAATGGCGATCTCAAGGAAGAGGTGTACGTGGAGCAGCCGGCCGGTTTCATCAGCACGGGCAATGAGCACAAGGTGTTCAAGCTGAAGAAGGCACTCTACGGCTTACATCAGGCGCCTAGGGCCTGGAACGCAAAGCTGGACGAAACGCTGCTGTCGTTCAAATTCAGGAAGAGTCCGTCAGAACATGTCATCTACACCAAGCGGAACGGGGAGGCGCAGCTGGTGGTCGGGGTGTACGTCGATGACCTGGTGATCATCGGCGCCAGCTGCGACGACATCAAGCAGTTCAAAAAAGAGATGGCTGACGCATTCAAGATGAGCGACCTCGGCCTGCTTCACTACTATCTTGGCATAGAAGTCAGGCAGAGCGCGAGGGGCACCTCGATTAGCCAAGGAGCCTATGCCGCCAAGATTCTGGAGAGGAGCGGGATGGCAGGGTGCAATCCCTGTCAAGTACCAATGGCAACACGTCTGAAACTGAGCAAGAGGAGCACGGAGCCGCTGGTGGATGCAACAGCATACAGAAGCATCGTGGGGAGTCTCAGGTACCTGGTCAATACTCGTCCAGATTTGGCATTTGCTGTTGGCTATGTGAGTCGTTTTCTAGAGGAGCCACGAAAGGATCACTTGACTGCTGTGAAGCAAATTCTCCACTATGTGGCGGGAACCAAGAGCTGGGGTCTCAAGTATGAAAGAAAGGAGGAGCAAGTCCAGCTGACAGGGTTCAGCGATAGTGACTTCACTGGTGATGTTGATGCTCGGAAGAGCACAACTGGAGTTATTTTCTTCTTGGCCAACAGCCCAATTACTTGGCAGTCGATGAAACAGAAGGTGGTGGCTCAGTCTAGCTGCGAGGGAGAGTACATTGTGGCCGCCAATGTTGCCTGCCAGGGTGTGTGGCTCGCTCGGGTGTTAGCAGAGGTGCATGGCTCAGCACCAAGCGTGCCGATGTTGATGGTGGACAACAAGTCTGCCATAGCGTTGATCAAGAACCCAGTTCTCCATGGACATAGCAAACACATTGAAGTGAAGTATCATCTTGTTCGAGAATCCGCAGAAAAGGGTCAGATCAACGTGGATTTCATCAGGAGTGAAGAACAGTTAGGAGATGTTCTGACAAAGCCACTCGGAAAAGTCAAGTTCCATGAGTTTCGCGCTAAGATTGGCCTTGTTGATGTTCGTGGAAAGTACAGCAAGGCTCAGGAGGAGATTGTTGTGAGCGGGAGCCTTGCACGTGGCCCCTCGCATAACGGCATAGTGCGGTTATGCGAGAAGTGCGTTGACGTGAACACGTCAACGCACAAAGCAGTAATGCGGAATTTTTTTCTGCATGATGCGCGTTACTAGCCAGTTAGTTATTTCTTACGGTTATTTCTTTCTCCTTTGTTTTCTTATTTAAAGAGGGCTATAAGAGGTTTTCAATAGTGAGAAAGTTTTCCTTGTTCCTCCTACTGTTTTTCCTATGACTCGTGAGGTGATCTCGCCGGCGACGTCTTAACTGCCGTCGTCTCTCCGGCGAGTTCCTGACAGAGGACCGCAGCCGCAAGATGATTTTCATCGGTTACGAGTGCGGATCAAAGGCCTACCGTGCCTACGATCCCACCACGAGGCGTGTCCATGTGACACGGGACGTGGTGTTCGACGAGAATGCCCAGTGGGACTGGGGCAGCGGCGCGGAGCAAGGGGATGCGGGCAGCCACGACGACATGTTCACATTGGAGTATGCCGTCGGGAACAAGGTACCTCCAGAGCTCGATGGCGCCATCGAGGTACTTGATGATGATGCGCCGGGATCGGAGCTGATGTCACCACCGTCCGTGCACTCCAGTGGGGGAGCGGTGCCGATTGAAGATGGAGGAGAGGAGATGGAGTTCGCCACTCCATCCAGTGTCCAAATCGACCACCTAGATGCTAATCACGATGATGCGCCACTCCGGTTCCGCAAGATCGACGACATCATTGGGCTGGCCTCGCCGCGTGGCCACGCGTCGGGGGCGTTAATTGCAGAGGAGCTGCACCTAAGCTGGAGGGCCACCCGAGCTGGAGGAAGGCTATGGAGAAAGAGATGGCGTCAATCGAGGAGAACTGCACCTGGTCCCTGGTTGACCTCCCACATGGTTGCCAAGCGATCGGGTTGAAGTGGGTGTACAAGGTGAAGCGGGATGAAAACGGAGCCATGGCGAAGTACAAGGCGTGCCTGGTGGTGAAGGGCTATGCGCAACGCTAGAGGATCGACTACGACAAGGTGTTCGCACCTGTGGCGCGGCTGGACACGGTGCGCCTTCTCATCGCTCTCGCGGTGCACGAGGGGTGGGAGGTGCACCACATGGATGTTAAGTCGACACTCTTGAATGACGATCTCAAGGAGGAGGTGTACGTGGAGCAGCTGGCCGGTTTCATTAGCATAGGCAACGAGCACAAGGTGTTCAAGCTGAAGAAGGCACTCTACGGCTTGCATTAGGCGCCTAGGGCCTGGAACGCGAAGTTGGACGACACACTGTTGTCGTTCAGATTCAGGAGGAGTTCCTCAAAGCACGCCATCTACACCAGGCGGAACGGGGAGGCGCAGCTGGTGGTCGGGGTGTACGTCGACGACCTGGTGATCATCGGCGCCAGCTGCGACGACATCAAGCAGTTCAAAAAGGAGATGGCTGACGCATTCAAGATGAGCAACCTCGGCCTGCTTCGCTACTATCTTGGTATTGAAGTCAGGCAGAGCGCGGGGGGCACCTCGATCAGCCAAGGAGCCTACGCTGCCAAGATTCTGGAAAGGAGCGGCATGGCAGGGTGCAATCCCTGTCAAGTACAAATGGCAACGCGTCTAAAACTGAGCAAGAGGAGCACGGAGCCGCTAGTGGATGCAACAGCATACAGAAGTATCGTGGGGAGTCTCAGGTACCTGGTCAATACTCGTCCAGACCTGGCATTTGTTGTTGGCTATGTAAGTCATTTTCTAGAGGAGTCACGAAAGGATCACTTGACTGCTGTGAAGCAAATTCTCCACTATGTGGCAGAAACTAAGAGCTGGGGTCTCAGGTATGAAAGAAAAAAGGAGGAGCAAGTTCAGTTGACAGGGTTCAACGATAGTGACTTCGCTGGTGATGTTGATGCTCGGAAGAGCACGACTGGAGTTATTTTCTTCTTGGCCAACAGCCCAATTACTTGGCAGTCGATGAAACAAAAGGTGGTGGCTCAGTCTAACTACGAGGCAGAGTACATTGTGGCTGCCAATGCTGCCTGCCAGGGTGTGTGGCTCGCTCGGGTGCTAGCAGAGGTGCATGGCTCAGCACTAAGCGTGCTGATGCTAAGGGTGGACAACAAGTCTGCCATAGCGTTGATCAAGAACCTGGTTCTCCATAGACATAGCAAGCACATTGAAGTGAAGTATCATCTTGTCCGAGAATCCGTAGAAAAAGGTCAGATCAATGTGGAGTTCATCAAGAGTGAAGAACAGTTAGGAGACGTTCTGACGAAGTCACTCGGAAAAGTCAAGTTCCATGAGTTTCGTGCCAAGATTGGCCTCGTTGATGTTCGTGGTAAGCACAGCAAGGCTCAGGAGGAGATTGTTGTGAACGGGAGCCTTGCACGTGCCCCCCCCCCCGCCCTGTTCGCATAACGGCATAGTGTGGTTATGCGAGAAGTGCTCTAACGTGTACAGCTAGTTATTTCTTACAATTATTTCTTTCCCCCCTTTGTTTTCTTATTTAAAGAGGACTGTAAGAGTTTTTCAAAAGAGAGAAAGTCTTCCTTGTTCCTCCTGCTGTGTTTTTCCTGTGACTCAGGTGGTGATCTCGCCGGTGACGTCTTAACTGTCGTCGTCTCTCTGGCGAGTTCTTGACAGAGAACAACCTTAGAGTATGACGTAGGCCTGAAAGAGAGAATATACTTCGCCAACTTGCCTGACGAATGAATATAGGAAACTAATGTTAACCGCAGAAACCCAAGGGGAAAAGAGAGGACCGGGTCCCCGAAGGAAATTCCATATGAACAGAGAGGGAAATAAATTCTTTCTTCTCTATTATATTTCTATATTGTGAGGGGTAGCATCAACCCGTTCAATAGCCAACCGCAACCCTCTCCTCCTGTTCCACGGTGGTCGCCAAATATCCTTTCACAGGAGCACATTCCCTGAGTTTTCAAGTGCAGTGGCTTCCCTTTCATTGCACAAACAAGAAACTACACCACAACCCAAAGGAAAGAAGACTCTCCACCTACCTTACAGTCTTTCTTGTTGTCCTTTTTCAGTGCCCTCAGGTCCAAGTACGTGAAAAAAGATGATGCACAATCAAGTTCAAAGCGTATTATTCATGAACAGGAATGTTGACTGATTCCGATTTGGGCCTCTTTCCTATGTGGGGATCGAATAAAGCTAGCAAGCACTCAGGGAGGTGAAGAAATTATCTGGTGACCTGGTTCAGTTTGCTGGGGGGCCCGTGCAAATGTGTAACTAAATCCTCTCTCTCTCTCTCTCTCTCTCTCTCTCTTCTTTCTTTGATCCAAAAATCAAACTAAGTTTACCCTCCTACTGAGGACTGTGCTGGAGATCCTCCCATAGTTTAATTCTGGGTAATTAACTGACCCAAGCTGCCAATTACCAACCATAGACTGAATTTTCGGTCAAAGACAGGAAGTCAGCGTCCTGGTGGAACTCAACTTTTTTTAATCCAAAGACTGTTTTGTAGTCAAACTATCTACTTTTTTCATTGTTCTCAATAATTATCAACTCATCAACATAAAGTAAGACAATGATAATGCTTGGCATAATGTAAAATTGGCTCATTCTTGCCTCTTTTTAAATCCTTTTTCCTTCAAATGGCTATGAAGTTGACTATACTAAGTATGAGGCATTAGCTTCAGCCTACATAGTTCATTCTTTAATTTATATACCTTTTCTTATCTATCATTCCTGAAAAACCCTTCAAGTCTCTCAACTAATACATCTATTTTATCACGGTACTTTGAAATGTAAGCTTTGCATTAAGTTGGCGTAATAGCCATCAATTTTCTTACCATATTTAACCTTGTTATAGTGAATGTCTCTTCATAGTCAATTCCTTAATACTATGAAAACTTTTACCAACCAGCCTTGTGACGAGACTAAATCGTATGGTCGTTGAATGCACACGATTCAGTGTCAAAACAAAGTCCTAATCTTACCAATTTATGATTAATCAAAGTAATTAATTAGTATAATGATAATTAAGGGTTGAATCCACGGAGAATTAGGGAAATTTGAGAGATATCTTTGAAATTCGGTCAAATAAGACGATGAAATTAGTTTAGAAATTGGGCAATTTAGTATATTAAGAAAGATAACTCAATTTCGAATCCACGGAAACAAAAATCAGGTGATTTGGATGAGAATTCGAAGAGTAATCGAAGTTTGAAGTTAAGAGAAATTTTCGTATCGCGAAATGATTAAAAACAGAAATTAAAACTAAATTAAACTTAATCTACAATAGTTAAAGTAAAATTAACACTAAAAGATGAAATATTAAGATGAAAAAAAACAATCTAACCCAAATTAGCCTTCGAAATGATCCAATTAATCGCCGGATGCAAGGCTTTTCATTCCGAATTTTCGAAGACGAAAGAGGAGTTCAAGACTTGATTTCTTCCAATTCTTTCAATCAAACATTGAAATTAAACATCCAACAGAAGCGGAAATGAGTTGCGAACACAATGCAAAAGATGGCGCGCGAATTGGAGCTCTAAACAAAGAGAATTTGAAGATTGATCGCGGGCCGTTCTTCCGTCGCGAAGAACGGATTTTATAAAATTCGGAAATGATCGTGGCCGTCCGATCTGATGGAGTTGATCGCGATGGACGATCGCGATGAGACGCCTCTTCACGAATCGTCGCGACGATTCGACGATCGTCCGATCGTGATCGTGCGGTTAAGCTGTGATTGGATGTCCATCTGATGTGAATAATCTGGACCGTTATAACTCTCGATCAGACGGTCACGATTTATTCACTTAAGTGAGTATTTAGGCACGTGGTTGATCTCTGATTGCGTGGACTCGATTCCACGTGATCTACGCACGTTATTTGTCGCGATGTCGATCGGACGCACGAGATCACGCCACGCGTCCTGCACATAAGAAAACTAAGGGACTTTATTCCCACACGGGAAAAACAAAGGAGTATATTCGCGTATATAAGATATGACGATTAAGACAGATTAATACTTTGTCTTCCGATAATCGGAAGACCTATATACTTTATTAAATAAATATATATAGTAAATATAAATACGCCACGTGTCACATCAGCACCACGCAAGCGCCCGCGTGCTGTCCACGTGGCAGAGCCACGTGGCCCCGAGTACCATGTCGCATCCACG